AACTGAAATACTTTGTTTGTTTGTTTGTTTTGTTGTTGTTGTTGTTGGTTTTGTTCCTGCATATTCCTTAAATTTTGCATCCGAAGAGGTCAAGGAACGTGGTCAGGTAATTGAGATCATTGGTCAGGAACTTACTTCACCCAGTACAGAAGCTACACTGTAACTGCAACTGACAAAAAAACCAACTTGCAAATGTACAGACAGATCTATTTCAGTGAGTTACTTTTTACACAGTAAAACATAAGGTTATCATAACTCCGCAGTTAGAAAATAACAACCCACCTTGCAATCATTCGGTGGCTGTTCAGTCCATAATGGAACAGAGTTTAGGGGGCTCAAGTACAGACATGAGGGAGAAAAGGAACTGCATCATTAAAAAAACACCAGTCTAGTTAATTGCTGGCAATGGCTATGAATACTGACAGTAGAGTACTGAATGATGTAGGTGAGAGGATATTCTCTATGTCGTAATTGCTTAAAATGAGCAGTTCAGTCAATTTGACCTGATTTGGCACAGTCTGTACTCTCCTTTCCAAGGCACCATAAACGTCTGGCTAAAGCTGCCAGTGAGAATCATCTGTGTTCTGCATCCTATAAATGGTGGCAGAAGGAGGGGGAGAACAGGTTTAATACACTGCTCTCCTTTCCTCACTTGTCCACACACATGCACACAAACACGGGTTTGCCTGGTATTCTACAGCTAACTACTGATTTTTCAGGAAGGCATTAATTATGTAAATACCATCTAAAAAGGGGAAATGCTCCTTTGGCAGATGAGTCAGCTTCCACTGCAGCCACTTTAAGTGTCCTGTAAGTTACTCCACAGCTGGAACTACATATGAAAAATGCCTGGAAGTTAACAGGAACAAGCTACAGCTGACACATAGCAGAATGAATAAGCGCTAAGTCACAAGGAATGAGACCACCAAACTAAATAGATTTGGGTTCCATCTACCACATATTCACCTGTTTTGAAGACTGTTTATCATGACACATATTCACTTGTCTGTACTTGGCACGTATCATTCCCAATTGCTCTCATTCTGAGATTTTCTTGGCTGAGGTCCTCCTGACACCATTCAGTTTGATTTCTACACTCTCAAATACTCCTCAACCAAATATCCAAAAGATTTATGACCTACTCGGGCCACCCTTATTTCAAGTGATGAGTGTATCAGGAATAACACTTAACGTGAACTGGAAGCATTTAATGTGAACTGAAAGCATTTATTTCTAATGCAATACATGAAGAAGATTCCTTCTTTGTGGCATCATCCCAGTATGATGCAGCTGGCCACCAGATGTAAAACTTGAAGAGCTCCAGTGGACTCAAATTTTCCTGCCACCATGGATTTCCAAAGCTCTTTGGAATATATTTCTAAGGGTATACAAACCCTTTACCATCCTGGAATACCTGCATTACTTAGAACATTTACCCCTCCATTTCATGCTGGTTATACTTTGCTAGGACCTGCACTGGCTGTGTGGACTTTTGTAAGCCACTAAACTCCCTAAAAGCAGTGGATCAGGACTGTGTAGAGAACTGTACTAAATCGGTTTGTCTCTGCTGTTCAGTACAAGAGAAGGACAGGGTAGGGAGATTCTGCAGAGTATCATGAAATTATGCCAGCAAAAGGAGGGCTAAGTACTGTTCTGCTAACAGCAGGAGGCCACAGCTATGCCACTCTTTTCAGAGGAAGTGAATAGACATTCAACCAGAACAGCCTCATTACAACTGATGTAACCACTTCAATCCCATTCAGCCCCTCCAGGATGTACTCCTTGCTGCTCTAAAACAGGCAGAAGGCTTGGGGTTTTTTAGGAAGGTCTAACTGCTGCCTGAGGAATGAGACAGTGAGGCAATCCTGCCCCAGGGAGAGCCAGGTGCTTTGCTTTGCTGCTTGTCTCACAGAAGTTGTAACCTGCAATAGAGCACATTTGTATTGAATTAATGTAATCAAAGGCACCCTGCTGTCTGGTCACTGACCTGCCTGTAAACAACAGATGACATGATGCCATGAGCTTCTATTATATATAATTACCTATTGAGATGTGACCATTGTAAAAGAAACAAAACCATATACCTCACCTGCTGCTGTTAGTCTGTTTTCCAGAGAGGAACAAAGCCTTTAAGTGCCTCAGCTTTGAGCACCATTTTTTTCTCATCTCCCTTTACTGCTCCTGATATCTCCTCCAAGTAAGTTTGTGGGCTTTCCCTTACGGCTGGAACAATCATAGAGTCATAGATTAGTTTGGGTTGGAGGGGACCTTTAAAGGTCATCTAGTCCAACCCCCTGCAATGAGCAGGGATGTCTTCCACTGGATCAGATTGCTCAGAACCACATCCAGCCTGGCTTCGATTGTCTCCATCTTCCCAGCTGCACTGGCATGGCTCAACCATTCTCTGTTCTTGCTTTAGGTCCCTCTTATACCCTCCTCCTTTCATTTATATTTCTTCTGTCACAGCTTCCTTTCCTCTGCTTGAAGCAAGGTAAAAGATGTCTGTTACATGAACATATCTAATCTGCCCTGGATTTTACTCACTGTAATAGAGAACACAGGGACAGATTCCCACCTGATGTAAATCAGTGTAGGTCTGATGCACAACCATGAATCACAGAGAAGGTGGTGAATAAGGAACACTGGTCTCTGATTCCCAGTACAAGAGTACGATCAGAAAGAACCTGCCAGCTCAAATCCAACAAGAAGCAGCTTTCACAGCCTCCATGGGCCAGCCATGAAGCTCCTTGCCACATGACACTGCAAATGGAACAACTGGACACCTTCCTGCAAGAACAACACTGGGAGTCATGAAATACAAAGAACTCTCCTCGGGTTTAGACACTCCCTGAACCTTAAATCTCTGGAAACCAGAAAAGTATTCTGGCAATACCACTGCATACTCACCGTTTCCTTGTACTCTCTTCCCTCAGCATTCCCTGCAAGCTGCTTTAGGGGATAACACACCAGGATATATGGAGCTGCCATTTGACCCGGTGAAGAAGTTCTTTATTGACACTAGTTCACACCAGCTGAAGACACAGCATCGTGTCTCATGTGCATGTCTGTGTACATGCACGAGTCCATGCTTGCAATACTCTATAACAGAAGTAATCTCTACAGTGCCTTTGGTGCTCACTAGCAAATGGCTTTTATATTCCAGTGAACTACAACTGTAGCTGCTGCTAAAAGTCAGTAGCTAATACACATTTATCTCTGGTGCTCATCAGTAACTCAGAAGCTACTGGGACATGATATTCATGCAGATGTTAAAAAAGAAGTTTTCATTACAGTATCTGGCAGTGAGACAGAAGCCAACTGACACTGCCAATGACAAGCTGCTTATTTGTCTTGGCTTTGTTTCCATTATCAGACTGAAAGTCTATATTGCCAAAACAGACCTAAAACGCCTTCCCTTTTGCTTCTAATTTTTGTCAGACGTCTGATGCAAGTTCCCTACAGAAGAAGTATGAATGACTTACACTAGCATCACCCTTTCTGCTTTATTTACAAATGCTCTCATGAACACCTATGTACACCACGACTGAAATATACACAGGTTAAGTTAAACATTATCTGAGGTACTGTTTTGTGTCTGAGCAGCTTAGATTGTGTAATACTGCAGCAGCAAACTCTCCTATTAATCACTGAAGAACAGCTCACATACAAATAAAAGTATTTGATGTCATCATCTGGCTCTTGAGAACAACAGAACTAGGCAACAGAAGCTTACAATGAACTGGCTTTTGCTAGATGGAGTTCAGTATTTACATGAGGAATCTTCTTTTAGATAACAATCTTTTTTCACTTCCAAAGAGTTCCTTCCTTTGGAAATGTTTTAGCAAACATGGACAAAAGCTTTTTGCCCAAGATATTATAGCATTCAAGAACAAAGACAACATTTCAGAATATGTGATTGCGGGTTCTCCTCATGAAGACAAACGGTTACTGGAAATATTAAGTCATTTAATTGTAGATTGCCAGGACTGTTTCCATTCCTCATCTTGTCTGAATTAGCTAAGCTGCAGTTCTTTGAAGACCATCTGATACCAGCAGGTAATTGGTCCCACACCACAGAGGAGTAACTTGTTTAGACATATTCCTGACTGTCCCTTAGGAGTCACTGGGAATGAGCAGCCAATTGAGACGCTGGTAAAATGATGCATTTAGTGACCTGAATTCTTTTGTGAATGAACAGGGGGACGATCAGTTCCTACTTACCTCCACACACTTCTGGTTTCAGAATGTCTTTGGGGGTTTTGTCACTGCCTAGCAGAGAATGTTAATGCTGTCATTCATGCTGAATGTAAAGACTTGGAAGAGATATTCGAAGAGATGCAAACAAGAAGGAGCAGACTATTATCAAGCACTGCTGACAGAAAGCCATTGGCACTGGAGGTGGTGAGGCTGAATGGATCAGACAGCTAGTATTTGAGAGAGAACACTGCATTAAACTGTGAAAATAAACAGCTGTGGATCAGCAGCACGGAGTGACTCAGGCTATAGAACAATCCTGACTCAAACCTGTTGAGGATCCTGGCCCAGCATTTCTTTTTGAGTATTAATCTGAGTTACAAATGTGTCAGTAATCCTCTCCACTGGTGCCTGGCAGCTGGAGGAACAGTGGACCAAGCCCCAGGCTACCAGCGGGAGCAGATGGATTACACTTGGATGCTGCTCGCCACAGACTCCGGCCGGCTGAAGGCAAGCCCCACGCCCTGGAACTCCTTGCTCGGAGTCTGCAGCTGCACGGATGCCATCCACAGGGAACGGCAGCCTCAGACACCGGTATTCCCGTTTCCATCCTGTCACCCCACCCCACCCCGCCGCAGGTCCCACGGGCACCAAACCGACGCCGGATCCCAAAAGTTAATCCCCCCTCGGCTGCGGCAGCAACAGGGTAACGCCCGAGGCTGCACATCGGTGCTCCTGTACCCACGGCCGCCGTGAGTGTCCCGCGCCTGGGGCCGGGCCGTGGGGCAGGGCCCCCCGGTACTCACATGATGGGCAGTGGAGCGGCTGCCTAGCGGCGCAGGGGCTGCTGCCTCCCTCTCCAGCAAAGATGGCTTTCCGGCTCCGCTCCTGCTGCCAGCAGTCTCCTAGTGTTGTAGGCACTGTTGCTGAGCTAGGAGGGGTAGGCACCGGCTACTGAGCATGCCTGTGCCTCACATCACAGGGTAGGAAGTAGAGGCAGGGCACGGGGTACCCCCTCCCCAGCCTCACGCCAGGCAGGAGAGGGTCCTAGAGAGACTCAGGCAGACGGAGCCTCCCGCATCCCGCTCCTGCCCCTGTGGAGCAGGGACTGTCTCGCTGGGTGTGGTTACAGGAGCTGGGATCGTTCCAGCTGGGAAGCTTGAGGATGGTTGTGGAGATGAAAACCTTTGTGTGTCTGTAACCACCTTCAGTCTCCCTCTCCTCTGTAGAAAGAAGAAAGGTAAGAGAAAGAAAAAAAGAGGAATAAAATGACAAGCGGTGTTGTTGCAGTTTAATCTGTGCCATCACAGGTCAGGACCTGAGAATGACAAAAAGGAAATTGTCCGGATTGTAATTTCTTCCCACAATGTAGAGCAAATCCAGAGGCAGACAAACTACTAGATCAGCCATTGCTTCTTGTATGATTCATAGAATACTAGAATGGTTTGGGTTGGAAGGAACCTTAAAGCTCATCCAGTTCCAAGCCCCTGCCACAGGCAGGGACACCTTCCACTAAATCAGGGTTGCTCCAAGTTCTGTCCAACCAAGCTAGGTCCAGACATCCAATACCACCCCTGAATCCCTTTCATTAACATTAGCACTCTCTTTGTCCACCCCCTGTGCTCCTGTACAGATCAAAACTTCTTCTGAAGCGGAACATTTCTTCTGTCTCATTTGGAAGAAGTTGTTCCAGGATCATGAACAAACTAGAAATATTCTCATACTGGGCAATGTCATACATGGCCTGGATCTGGGAATAAAGAAAAATCAGTAATAAGCACGGCGTGAAAACATTTGTGCAACCCACCATTCAGATAACAGTTTAAGGAATAATGTAACTACTTGGGATAACTTGTTCCATTTTTCATGTAAAAAGACACTCCACCAGTCACTGCTTTCACTAACTTTCCATCAATTTCAGTGACAGGTAGCACAAGCTTTTGAAACCGGGTGTCTGCCCAAGCAAGCAGAAGGCTTACCCAGAACAGGAGGAGTGTTTGTAAGTATCTAGACCTCAGATCTTGGGGTGCCTGCTGGGGATGAAGTACCTTGGTGTCATGAGATTGAATCTGTCTTTTCTGCATGTGGAAGCCGAAGAAAAGAGATGCTGCTCAAAGCGACAGGAAAAGATACAGGTACTAGGGGTGAGCAACACATCAGTCTTGATTCCTAAACTTAGTATCAACAAGCTGAAAATTTTCAGGGAGAAAGAAAGGAACCGGGACTGTGAGAACACCCACAGCAGTGGTACAGAGCCCAGGCATTAGGACACCCAGTTATTGCCTAAATCCAGGCTCAGATGCTGTCCCAGCCAAATTCAGATGCAAGCCCCTGGCTACCAGCTCTGAAGGGAACCAGCCCCTTGGGAACAGTGGAACACCTCAGAGTTAACCTAATCACAGGAACATCTATCTCTTTCTTCTCCCTCTGGTGCCTGGGAGCTTGCTCACTGCATTGAAGACCCCTCATACCTGCTGCCACCAAAGGGTGAATCTGTCTCTTCTACTGAACCTAATTACTTGCATGAATAAATAAATACCACTTTGAGCCTTAGTTTTCTACATTTGACCACATCACTAAGGGCTTGCTCACACACTGCACTCATAACAGCCTGGCCCTGGGAAACTTTACCTGATGGAAGTAAAAACCACTTCAGGATGGATTTTCTCTACAAAAAAGGTGGATTTTAAACCAATTGTCATGCCTTGATGACAACGATATTCCAGACAAGCTTTAAAATTTAGCTATTTAGAGACCACTTAGCACTTGTTATCTAGAATTCCTCCATAACTCTTTTCTTGTGAGGACAGTTCACTTTTCAGATATCCTAGACAGATACATTTGATAGCCCTTTAGCATACAGCCACACCAACACCCACTCACAGAGTTAAGCCTAACATTGGGACCACCTGCCACCAGGTATGTCATCTTAGTCCTCAGACCTAAAATACCAAGGAGATGAAGAGTCATGTGTGGCCAGCAGCTCCTCGGACAGAAGGATCTGCTGTCTTAGACCTTCCAACCACCTCTGTGGTCTGACTTCCTGTCCCTACTGTATGGAGGGTGGAAGAAGTAACTGTGATGCTAGACCAAAGTTTATAAGACTCAAAAAAGATCCAAAACTGGAAAACCTCGAATATAAGCATGATGCTTCAAACATTGTGAACATAGTGCAGAATGAGCTTAGGCTAGATCAATGCACCATGTCACATGGGCACAGCTTACTTTGATCAAACATAGGAGAGCTCTCAAAACCAAATGAAATAACATCACTGGACTACAGCCTTTCTTGCTAATTTCCTCCCAGCTAATGAAGGCATCACCATTCCAGTCCAAGAAGGCTCATGATCCCAAAGGAAGTCCATACTTTAGCTGGGGCATATTTTCCTTTAGCCCTACATCAACTTGCCATTAAAGGCTACCAAAGCCTTTGGTGTAGGAAGAGATGCAGAGACACCTTGTGGTGGCAAAAAAATAAAATAAAATAAAATAATTAAAAAAATAATTAAAAAAAAATCAGAATTTGTTCAAACAGTTTAAATTGCATTGAATTAGGACACAGGACTGGATCAGGAAAGCTGCATCCTGGGAATACCTTGAGAAATATTTCCCAAGTTGCTAGTTGTGTCATTTCATTTCTCCAGATTTCCTTTCCTGTCTGGCATCTCTCTCCCCGTGCGTTTGCATGGCAGTCCCTGCCACAAAGGTTTTACCCTCTTGCTCTGTTCGGTTCTTCTACCCCAGGGGATATCAGCTGGGTCAGGGCTGCTGCAGCTGGGGGGATGGCTGTGGAAACACTCTGCTTCTGGCAAATAGCTTCCTTCATCTTTAACCTGCCAGTCCTGGGTAGGAAATCTATCTCATCCATCAACTGGATGTTGCGGGGTTTTGTTGGTTTTTTTTTTTTGCCCCATCCATCCATAATACTTTGTCCTGAAATGCTGCTTGTAAACGTGAAGGCAGTTACAGAGACACCAGTACACGGCTCAGGTAGCCTACAAATGAAAGCAGTCAACAGCAAGCATCAGTGCAAATCAGGTTTGACATCTGAAGTCCTGCAGGTACTAGACCTTGCTTATAATTAACTTGAGACAAGCTAAAGATACAACACTGAGGTTCCTAAGTGTTGTCCCCCGCTGCTACGTGATCTTCATCTGAAGGAAATGTATTTTCTCCCAGATCTACAAGTAGGATTCCCGTTTTAAAGAGTCATTATAGGTTTATGGACTGACCAGATAATAAAGTAAATCTCAGGGCTAGCAACAGTAACACCATTACTGGTTACTTTGGCTCACAAATCAGAAAAACACTATTCTGTTGCTAAGTGTGAAAGGTGAGGACAATCAATTGGTATATTGAAAGTAATGGTTGTTAAGTTTGACAAGATTTAAGCAAAGAAAAGCATGGCGAAGAAACACGTTATTTAAATACTGGGTATTCAAATCTTCTGATCTGGTAACACATGTTAAAAGCAGCATAGAAGGGATTCCTCCTACACCATTAGAGTTAATTACACTGGAAACTCAACATAGCCAACTTCATAGATAAAAATTAAATAATCTACAATATATATCCAAATTACACTTTCTAAATAATTACTAACTAAAAGGCTTTAGAAAAGACCCTTTTCATTTATCTTTGATTCTTTGTCACCAATTCCCACATACTTACATCTGTACTTTCAGTGTTACGTTTTCCTCTCTTGATCTTTTAGATGAGTGGAATTAGTACTGAAAGATCCTGCAGTGAGAAGCCTTTGAAGCTCACTTCTCAGAGGTAAGAAAGACTCCTGCCTCCCCAGCTGCTGACTTTATTAGCCATGGATTGGTCTGTTCTGCAAAGCTTCACCTCAGCACCGCTGTATGCCTGAAACAGGTCTCAAACTTGCAGATTATTTTGTCACAGATTAAAAACAGAAGTCTGTAAATTGTGAGGTGTGCAATTTTCTTTCACTGGCAACTTTTATTCATTCCTTAATAGCATGGTAATTCTTTAGTGACAGTTTCCTCTTACAGGTCAGTTAACTGTTTGCATCTTCTTTCGCAGTCTATTCTGCCATTTCTGTGGAAGAAACAGGTTCAATTTATGTGGGTTCTGTTCAAAAGCTGGATGTCTCACTACACACGTAGAACAAGTAGCATGTTCATTCAAGATAGTTATAGTCTCTTCTTAATGTGTGTAAAAGTATAATTTTGGTAAATGATTACAACACAACTGTATTACAATACAGTTAAACACACCCTGCCTGCTTCAGGGTGTGAATCCTGCAAAGAATTTGCATACAGAGTCCCTTCTGCCTGTGTGTATCATGCTGTAAGAACTGGTTAAGAACTGCTGCCCTTAAGACAGGGAAGGTTGAGTGTGGGAGGGGAGGAGTGAGGACGAGGGATGGATGGGGAATGACAGGGGGAGGAGATGAAGAGTAAGATCAGAAAAGTGCATAGTTCAAAATGGTTTCAGTTCTGGTTTTAAACCTACGGAGTTTGCATGACTGGTATTAGATGATTTGTGGAAGACATTTTGAAGAGGTAGGAAGAGACAAGTGCTTCCAAGGCTATAGGAGAGGCTGAATGCAACCCTCCAAGTCAAGCAACCAAAAGTTAATGCAATTACCAAGTATTAAGAGCAGAGCAGAGACTAATTCAATCAGAGAGGCCAAAGGGATAATTCTTGGAGACAAAGCAATGCAACACGGAAATGCGGACTAATCAACTGCTCTATCAAAAGAAAAAGGAAACAATTTCCAAGCCTTAACTAATCCCCAGTTGGTTCTTCATCTTTTCAGGGTTCTGGTTTTTGCTTTGCAGTGTTTGTTCCGTCTCACATCTGTTTCACCGCTTCTGTTCTCTGCACAAAACTGTTTCTTTAGCTCCTGGCTCTTTGCTTTTATCAAACGAGCTGCCTCCTCTCTTGGTTTTCAGCAACAAGCCTAATCATGAAAGAGAGTGCGTAGAGGGAAATATTATATTTAATGTCCAAACGTACTTTCCATAATTATGTGGAACAGTGGTTGAATAAGAATACCGAGTCACCTTGGGTCTGCTGGATTTTTCCAAGCAGGTATTTGCTCCATCTCATGGAAAGCAGCTGATCTCTTCTGTGTAACCAAGACACTTACAGGTCTGTGGAGTAACAGGACCAGACTTCACCAGGTCTAATGCAGTACAGGAGGGACTTTCGAAAAGCTACTGAGATTTCTGCTTTCATCTAAGCAGGTGCTGTTACCATGACAGATAAAATGAGCTGGCACAAAGAAAAGAAGGAACTCACAGAAGAAAACACAGGAGATGGGAAGCACAGCCGAAGAAAGCGAGAGCGACTATTCAAGAAGAGATTTTCTGGACTGAGCCTCTTCTCTGGGTCTCCTAAGAATAAACTGTAAGTACATCTGAGATTACATTTTGCATACATTCTTAACCAAAACATTTTTAAGCATTTCCAGAACACCTTTCAAAGAGCCGCAGACACCTCTCTTACTTCTACTCTGTTGATTGTTTCACAAAGAAGGAAACAGCTATAGGCTAATTAAACAACTTGACCTAAAAAAGCAAGTCACTGCCAGAAGTATGAAATGAAGGTCTCCAAACATGCGGTCTGCATGTTCATCTGGCAACCATTTCCCTATACTTCCTTCCACCCAGCAAGAGAACTGGAGGGGCAGCATCTCTATTTCTCCACATACACACAAGCACTGCCAGTTCTGACAACCTAGGACACTGCTTCTAGGGGTCACATTGCTGCAGTTTTTGTTGTGACAATATCCCTACCTCCAGCCTATATGAGACAGTGGCAACATATGGGCAGCAGCCAAAATCACTCTTCAAAGTTAGTGCTCCTAAGTTCCTTGAATCAGAGCGTAATTATTGCTTATGTTATAATAGTGCCTTTATGCTTACTGCTTTATAGATAGAAAAAGCCAAGCATTACAAAACCATTCCTTCTTTAACCAACGCTAGCAAAGAGGCAAAAATGAGTTTGAGTTTACTGCTTTGTGCACATATTAGCTTTGAGTTATCACCATCAGTCTTATGGGATTTGAAATTCTTTTCTTGGGTCTTTGTACTTGATATTATTCTTCCTGCACATGAGGTAAACGTAGCATATACATCATGCTAGGATCAGGACTAGCTTCCAAAAAGTCTTTTCTCATCCATTAGAAGAGCTGTTTTCTGTACGCATCTCCAAAGAGTCTGCCTTTGATAATTATCATGAAATTACTGTCTTAGCAGGAAGTACACGCAAGTCTCAACAATTACTCAGCTAACTGCATTAAGCTTGATAGCCACAGCAGCTGGCTACAAGCTTGATGTAAGATTAATATAGACTAGCCAGAATTGATCCTGAAAGCAAGAGTCTTCTCTCAGACTGATCCAATTGGAGAACAACTGTTACCAAGGCTTTGCTTTGGGGTTTATCTTGCTGCTGCGGAACTGGACTGGAAACAGTCAAGCACCCAAGGAGTCAGTAAATTACAGCTGTAAATTTTTTCCATTGTGCATAGTATCACTGAAGTGTGCATTCAGGAAGCAGACAAATGCAGCTGAAGCAGTCAAGTCATGCTCTCTGGGACTTGATCCTTATTAGAAGGTGATGAATATGGATTTTCCCCAGTTTGATCTAAAAACAGAAATATATTAAAACAGTGATGTAGCATCCTCCTCCCATGGTACTCTCACATTAACGGAGAGTCAGCCTTCAGGCTTTACTGGGTAAATTTCCACAGACCAATCGCACGAGAGGGGTTTTACATTCCAGGCATCAGGGTCCACAGAACTTCACAGTGGTGAAATCATACAATCTCTGCAGTTCAGCACTGATTTGTGAGCTTCTGTAAGGGATTATGTAGGTTATTGGCTTGATTTTGAGGTACTGTTTTATATAAAATATAATGGCATATAATTCAATCAAGAGTGCTTCCCTTGCTGTCCTTCCATCTCTGTGCAAGGATAGCATAATATAGGGGTTATCTACTAGCCAGCACAGTTATTAGTGCATGAAAGAGGAAAAAGAACATTTATGATAGCGTGAGCTCTACTGCGTCAGAGCCTATAACTTAGATACATAAAGCTGTATGAAATCAGTCTGCATGCAAACACACAAGGCTTGTTTCACTATCACCAACGTATTAAAGAACTGAGTAGAAAGCACCTACCAAGCTAGTTGCCTTACCATTTTCCTATGGTTTTGTTTAAATGGTGACAATTCTTTTAATAATTCTATGTTCTGAAACTAATGGTTTGTTGCTGCCATCTCAGCAGCAGAGCCACACTCTCCATTTTCTGTCCATTCCTGCTTTCTGCAGGTGACCACACACTGCACCTGCTCCTAGCGTGTCACAGGGAAAGCCTCATGAAGGGTTCATAAATCACACACTAATTGCTTCTGCTGATCTCACTCATCCGGGAAGTCTGTGCAGGTTAAACTTGTTGCCTTCGTTTCTGACTGTTCTAGCCCTCAGGGAAGAAGTCAGCTTCATGAAGACAAGAGAAGATGCTTACACAGGAAAGGTTCCAAAAAGCTGAAGGCAGCGAGGGAAGAAATATGTTCTTTAAGGCAGCCTCACTCTGGGAAAATGTGTCCAAAATGTGAAATCCTCGTCTGCCCAAAGTGCGAGACTCTGCACTCAGAACGGAGCTTCATTGCCCACAGCCTGCTTGATCACTATGACACAGGAGACGCTGCCTGCAGAAAGTCAAGTACGCAGAGGTGATTAAAGATTTGCTGCGGATGCCCTGTGGGTACCTGACTACATCCAAAATGCTGAAGCTTGGGTCCATTCAGGGTGACTGGATCACTGTCCCGTGCACTCTAATACGCAGCAGTTACAACCATACTGTAGTTCATACCTGCTGTAACAGATGCACGTTCACCAATTTAACTAGCATAAACTGCAAACAAAGGTACGTAAGTAGGAGCTAGAAGTTTCTCGGCTACTAAGAAGAGGGAATCATTTCAGAAACATTTTCAAAGAGTTCTTTTTCCTCTCAAGGAAACAAGATTATCCCATTGAGCTGCAAAAGAGAAAGTGAATTTAAAAGCAGAACCCCTGGGTGATTACATTTTCTTGTAGTGCCTAGCTATGTTTCAGTATTGTTTGTGGTCTGGAATATTAAACTTCTTATTTATTTTTAAGTTTATAAGCCTAGGTATGCAGGTTGATGGGGGTGGGGGCTTCTAAAGGTTATCCTGGCCACAAGAACTGCGGAACACTTCTAAATTCCCTTCCACAATATCTGAACCTTTACAGACTTCAAATCCTAACTTACAATTCAGTGCTTCTCCTGAAAAGGAACAGTTAGAATCACAACTCACAAAGTGTTTAAACCTTTTTTGGGTTTAAGAGCTGTGTAAGTACAGCTCCAAATGCAACAGTATTCAGTTTAAACATACCAGTGGGACCCGCATCTCTGTCTCCATTCCCTTTACAGAGCCCAGAAGGACTTGCTCAGAAAGGTTCAGGAGAGCAGCACTGTGACTAGCAAATACACAGTGGGTGGCACTGAGGTCTAGGCATACACAAGACGACTTACCTATGGAGTTCATAAAGACAGATTAAGGGCAGAAGTAGCCTCTGGAGCAGATTACCCCAAACCCAGCAGCATGTATCCCTTCCTCCCTTGTCAGCTGGTACAATTCTGTATGCAGGATGAATTCTTTGCTAATGTTAGGGAATAGACAAAACAAACTTTGTCTCACATAGCCATTAAGGGTTCTTTTATTTAGCCAGGCAGAATACAGGCTGAGAAGTTTAGACCGGTTTCATCACTCGTTTTCCTGTGTTCCCAAGCCACTGGTCTCTAAGGGAAAGGACTCCCTCTGTCCTTCCTGCTCCCCTCTGGAGATGTTCCATTTTTGTTCCAATTAATGTTTGGTAAAGGGACTGGAATCCATGCTTTTTTTTTCTGTCCCTAGAGAATACTCTAACTGAGCTACGTCATCCATTCTTGTCTTGGCTTCCTCCCATATCTCCTATGGAACAATTTCAACAGGAGGAATTCAGAGCCATGTATATAACATTCCCACGCTGCAGAGTATCCCAAGTGATACTGCTCAGCACCCTTTCTGGCATGTCAGACAAATGCTTGATGCACCTTATGCAAGGAGGTATAGCTGCTCTGTCCATGTGGAGCAGGTGGTCAGATCACAAATGTGCATCCAGAAAATGCCCATTAGGTAAGGTATGCAGGAAAAAACCTTGGGCAGAACTCGCAAATAGGAACAAACCACTAACAAGTTCCTCGCTTCTGCTCAGACTTCAGTGGTTCTGGACACTCCCAGCAAGTGCCCAGGCTTCCTGCCTAAACACAGACTTCTAAAGCCATATATCAGATCTAACAAACATCCTTGCGCTACAAGGGTTGTAATCCCTCAGAAACCATGTTTCCATGGAGCTTGACTGTCGCTTCCTCCCGTTTGCTTCATAAAAGCCAAATGATGCCTGGCAAATCAGAATTAACCTTTTACATTTCTCTGATTGCTGTTCTTAAACCATAATCCTTCACAGATTTCCAAAGAGTAAGCCATGCCATTACTTAAAAAACACATACCCATCCCATCCTTCATCAGACAATCCCTGGAGAAACTTCACCTGAGGAATCTCAAGGTGCCAGACTGTAAGGATGAAGGACTAGTTCATCATAGCAGTATTATTTTACATCTGACAGTCCAATACAGGAAACCTGCTAAAATAGGTTACAGAGTTGAGCTAGCTTTCAGTGGGGTGTTCCAGAGCTGACATAACATGTAAAGTTCTACCAGCATTTGATGTAGAACTTTCCTTTGTGGTTTGGACAAGATGGCAAGCTCCTCACCTGGGTCCAGCTGGAAAGGCACAGAAATACTAGCAGCTTGCACACCCAGCTCATTAAAGCCATCAGTAGCCAGTGGTACTGTGGTCAGGCAATAAAACTCCTGCCTTGAACTTAGTCTGACTGTTACCTTGTGAACCAAGCCAGAAGGAGGCAGGCTGTCCATCAAGCAAGCCAGAGCCATATGCAAACTGTGAGGTCCAACAGCAAAGCAGCACCACCGTCACATATGGCAGCACCTACTAAGAGTCACGTTCCATTGGGTCGGATCTACTCCCTCATCACTTGGCAGCATTCTGCCAGACAAATTACTTTTTGAATTATTTTAATAAAACTTGCCAAAACCTGGAATACATTATGTAAGCACAGGATTTTGTTTTAGAAGTCAGCTCAGACACAGAATTATATTAACCCAATATATTGTGAAAGAGTAAAAATAGAATTACTGATTACATACTTAAAAGATTTAGGCTTGGAATCATTCCTAAGGAATAAAGCTATGATCATCACCTGACATATTAATTACTAAGAGCCTGTGCTATTTAATTATCTGATTTCAATAGCTCTAGGAAATTAAAGAGTAATAATGGACTCTGCTGTATTATATACATGACTAGGCTCTGACAAAGGCATTTGCTAGAATGTGAATGACTTAACAAACAACACACCACTGTCATTAAAACTGACAAAAGCATCAAAGGGAAGGGAAGCAACTACACTGCTGAGGGGCAAATCGTGGGAGTGCTCTCCTTGGAAACTAAGGACAGGCCACACAGGAGTACAAGAACAGCAGTTCACCATTTGCCACAAATCAGATGATACAAGGTAAAGCAAGGAAACCCATCCAGTAATCATGCAGTCAGAAGAAAACCAGAACAGATTTATACAGTATACACACTGCATATTCCCAGTTTGTTTTTAAAGCAGTCTAGGTGCCTCTTCTCCTGTCAGATGTCATGAAGGCTGGAGAAGCAGAGCTGGTTTAAGAGAAGTCACTTTTCCCATGGAAACGTTCAGACCAGGTTAGAAGCAAACTTGGAAAAGAATAATAAATGCAACACAAGACCATCTGAAGTGACAGAGTTTTGTACCAAAGTCCTAGCTTACATTTCTCTTCTACAGCAGTGTAAAACTACATTCTTTCCACAGCTTCCATACTTAAAATCATGTTATGTTTCTACTCACTATTAGGAACAAAATCCTTAAAAAACCCTCTCACATTATAATCTGACCACCTGATGCCTTCTGAATTCTGCAAATAATGGTCTAAAATAATGGCTCAGAGGGAGAAAAAAAATATGATCCCACTCAGACCAAATAAACTGCCCATTTTAACACTATGGCTGGATATGGGAGGCAAATAAAGAATTAATTAATGGACTGATGTCCAAAGCATCTTTACTCTGTGCAACATGCCGGTGATAACTGACGGAAGGTGTTTCTGAGGCTGGAGGCCAATGCTACTTGCTAGTTTTGCAGATGGGAATCAAAGGCACAGACTTAACGACTTGTTCCCAGTCTCACATGAAGCTGAGTGGAATACGGTGCTGACCTCCCTTAGCCTTGGATGTAAGAAGCTGTCACGCTCCCTCCTGTTCCAGACCTTGCACACCAGCCTTACACAACAAAGATGAATGTGCCAAGTTCCAGGGAGAAGGGTATGTCTCCCTCAAAAAGGCAGCAGAGACACTCTAGTATGCTGTCTGACAGAAAACATCACACATCCAAGAATAGACACATCTGCAAATTTGTGTGCTGTGAATTAGCGGAGGATGAAGTTACTTTTCCCAAAGTTGTCACGTGCAGAGTAGTTTCTTTGTACCCTTCTTCCCATCTGCTTTAAAAGTAAAAATAAATTAAAAGGGGGACACGGCACACTTCAAGTGCTACTATATTATTACAGAAAATAACTAAAAACCATAAAGCACATGTTACTTTTGCAATATTGTAGAAGCAGAGGTCTTTTCAGTCAGACTCGCCCAAACAGGTGAGGGACAAGAGAATCAAACCACTACATAAAACGGTGCCCTGGCTCCAGAAAGGTTCTTGACCTTGAAAAGAAACAACAAAACCCCCAAACAATGACAAAAATAAATCACTCTCAACAAAGTAAAACTGCCTTTAATTAAATTCCTACATAAACCAACATTTCTATGCAAAACAACTGTTTAGTCAAAAGGAAATATATATGTTTAATTCTCTTTCAAATGGCAACAGGAATTGAGAGCTACCAGTGTTCCTTGGAGAACAAGCAGTAAAGTTGATCTTGCTGATGTTCAGAAACAGTATGTTACATCTCTTAACCAGCAGTTCCCTATTGCACGTAACAAATCTGCTCTCCATTTAAGCACCTAACAGCCTGGTACCTCACTAAATAAATTAAAACAAATCCAGTTTCTTCAGCAACCATCTTCAACATATATGTCTTGTAAAGCAACATTACTGCAAGCCTTTAATAAATACAGAAAGAAAAGATTAATGACTTCTCATTGGTGTTTTAGGGAACGATGTTTTCCCACAAACACTTGCTTTTCCAAACACTTGGGGTTTTTTGGTATGTATACTCTGATAAAACACTATGTATAGTATATTTGATGAAAATCTTCCATACCAAAATCAATATGTTTGCATGGCACAACTAGTCTGAGATATCAATTTCAGTGTAAGGCTGTAAGGAGCTTCTTGCTGAACCTGAAGTTAATGTGCATTGTAAAGGGTTGAAAGCAAAGCCCCAGAGCCAAATGGGAGACTGTTACCAGTGAGGGTCTCCCCGGCATGTCTGGCCTTACTTTCCCCTTAGAGAAGGGCTTCATTTGTGTATGTTATGTCAAAGGAACAAGATCATGCAACCCTGAACATCTGGACACCGCATCATTTCCAGAGGTCTCCCCCTGTCCACTTCCCATCTTACCAATATCTACTCTTCTTTCGGCAGCAGTATAAGACATAAAGCAGCTCCCTGTAGTACAATGATACTGTGGTTGCTATTTACAGTAACTTAATGCATCTGTGCCAGTAAGGCAGAGTTCATATGAAAAATATACACAATGTGGTCAATTTTAGCCAGATTAGGATATATATAAAAAAAATTTCTCTTGAAGTCCCAACTTTAAACAAAGAACAATTCTGTCAGAGGTCTCCAAACCTCCTGAGGCTGTTAGAGTACATTACCCTAACATATAAAAACAAATATTTACACCTCCGTAAAGTACCAAAGAAGTTTTAAAAATGCCTAGTTGCTCTCAGCGTGCAAAGTCAGCAGGAACTGATTATCCAGGATGTTCGCTATTCGTAGGGTCTTACTTCTTCTTGTTGTTTTGTGTTCTTTCTTATGTAAAATAGGTTCCATTGGTCCATGCTACAGATCCCTTTTGAAAAACACTTATCAAGGGAACATCCAGCTTAGTGCAAATGCAAAAACCTTCTAGGATCTGTAGTCTTTTCGAACAGTGTGAGCCATCCAGTTCACTTTAGTAGTCCAACTTTCCCGGAGTGCTTCATCAAACTTTTGTTTAAATTGTTTTAGTGCTTCTTCCTCACTCTTCCCTAAAGCGAGAGAGTCCTGAGATGACAGCAAAACAAGTACTGTTAGGAATTTTACAAACTACAGTTAATGCTGCCTCTACCTTGCAACACAAACCACATTCTGGTTTTTTCCTGTTCTGACACTTTTTCACTTATTATTCATTGAGCAATGTATTAGAGGTATTTTCTGGGTTTAAAGACAAAACTAAATAAGAATTAAGTAGATAATTTTTCCCTTTGCAGGTCTGTGCTTGCGCATAGGCCAAGACACAAAACACCCCTGAGGTAACTACATTTAAGATGAAGGGATACTGAACTCATTACAGAACAGCTGAGAGGAACATGTATTCACAGTTTCCTTTGGCTGCTAGGACTGACTACAGGCCTTGTTCAATAGAGCTCAAAAAGAAAGCTTTGGGAACTATATGGAAATCTTGACAGAAACGAAAAACAATTAAAATCAGAACTGACATACTGCAAAGTCCCACTGAGCTGTAAATCATACTTTACCTTGAGATACTGGATGTCCTTGACAGAGGTTAGCTCTGGAAGCCCTGCAGTTAACATCAGTGCAAAGAGTGTAATAAATAGGTTTCCATGTTTTCGCAGAATCAAGTATGCTTCTTCACAATACTGGCGGAACCTTCACGTTCAACCACAAGCACATGCGATCAAGACAACACATGAGAACTTACACAGCTGACAAATGTATATAATGATTTCCAAAAACCGCTACCTGGTCTAACATATGTATTGTAGGAACACAGTAACAGAAAGGACACAGATATTTACAGAATCTCCAATGCATTCCCCCAAATATACCCCATGCCCTCCAAGGAGCCCTTAGAACATCAGTACGAGAGGCCAAAAGCTTTAAAACAAACAACCATTCTTCAGAAAAAGCAAAAAAATGGCAAAGATAATGCTGGTGCCCCACCTCTCCCAGAATGTTAAGTGAAACACCCTCATGATCCTACACAGGAGAGAACAACAACAACTCTACAGCAGTCCCTACCAATCCAGCCTGTCTCTGTAAGGTAATTCCTTCCTGCAGATGTGGTCAAAATTGAACTCACTGCCAGATCTGGCATGAAGACCTATCACACAGGCACTTAAGACCTTGCTTAGTGTCCCCAAATGTGCCATTGTCCAGCATTTAATCTAAATTTCCACAGAAAATGGGAAGAACCCTTCAGATTAAGATGACGAGCAGTAATTCAAAGAATAAAATCTCTTCTGAAGCATTTTTCAAGTGAAAGTGGAATCCTACTGCCATTTAAAGTACTCCACAGTCCACAGCTCTTGCAACAGCACAGTCACTTAATGGCCTTTACATCATGGCTTTAAAAGTGGAGCTACAGATTGATTTCTTCAGTCTCCAGAAGAGACGTGGGCCACTGGCAGATCTTTTCATAGACAAACCATTACAACTATACGTACAGCTTCTGCTACCAGAAGTAGCTGTAAGATATATCTTACATATTTAAGTATGTAATTTCACATCTCTTCAAAAAAATCTTCCTTTGAAAACAGATAACAAAGTGAGAGTAAAACATTCAGAACACCCCTCCTGTCATTGGTGAGAATGATACAGAAGGGAAAAAGACAGATTCCCACAGCAGGTAGAATCACAGAAGGCAGCTTCCCTTGTCATGTGCTTTCACGGTCCAGTGCAGCACTGTATCCTGAGGTGGGAAGGGGCATGCCGAAGTGTTGGACTGGGAGCAGGAGGCTCTATACACCTAAGCATCTAAGTCAGGGCATGATCGATCAGCACAATGAATGTGAACAGAAAGGGCAGAAGGGGGCCTGCTTAAGTCCAGTGCTTCATCTCACTTGAGCAATAACCTGTGGAATCCCTCCCTCCTGCCTGGTGCTGCTGAAGGTAAAAAAAAAAGATGAGCCCAGAAGAGCCTGCCACCTCCTGCTGGAGAAGATAAAAGGAACTGTATCTGTTCACTGCAGAGCTGCAGTTTCTGGTGAAGGAAGTAGTTCGTGTATATATTCAAGTGCAAGTAGAGAACTAGATAGTGTTTTAAATGCATGTTAGCACACTTCCATGCAAGTACAAATGAGCAAAACAAACCCAGATAGGTTATTGTTGCGCTGGAAATTATCACCAGAGATCATCTCAGTTATGAAAGGAAGAAAACAAAATAATACTCACCGACCAAATTTTTCAGTGTTCCCTGTTTTTCCTTGTTGAATAACATGGATGAAATCATAGGTGAGTATGAAAGGTACCCGTTCCCTTTTAATTCCAAACTTGGACTTGAAATTTCCAAGGATATGCCCAAAATCTATATGAAAGAGCTAAAAGCCAGAAATGAAATTAATTTATACAGTGAAATATTTCACTTTTCCAGTATCTCTGCAGGATGCTGGTATCAAGAACAGCTAATGCATAATGCTATTCTTCAGAACTCACAGTTTCAACCCATTGGGAGTATTTAGTTTTAAACATTCCAAGACTTATTTAAAGTCAGCGATAACATCCAGGCTCTTACGAGCAACCAAATAAACGTGCAAAAGATTATCTCAGGTTTAAGCTTTTCACATCTGCCAAGAAGCATACTGTGGTAATATGAGATAAAAAATGAGTCCAGTGATGAGCCCACAAGACTCAACATCATCGTAACCAAGGGCTTCCCACATAAAGCCAGGAGCAAAGCTAGTAGAACTTAAGCTAATCTCAGGGAACCTGCAGCCAGGCTCCCATTTCAGAAGCAAAGATAAGGACATTTCAAGCTGTCTTGTAGTAGGTAAAAACTGTAATACTGCAGTGTCCCTAAAACTTTCCCTTTAAAATTCTTGCTAGTTTTATAGGCAGAATAATTTGCACAAACTCAGACAAGTTAATTTTACTGAGACACTGAAGAAATCAAAAGTTCAATATAATTCTTACAGATAAATAAAATATAAATCTCACAACACAGACACTGTAATTATTCTACCTACAGAAGAGATTCTTTTACCTGACCATTTTTTCTGACCATAATATTGTCACTGTGTCTGTCACCAATCCCCAGTACGTAAGTAGCTACACAGTAGCCAGCACAGGACAGGGTAAATTCTTCAATGGCTCGATCCAAGTCATCTCTAAAACCACAAAGACAACCAACATTAGTGCACAAGACTGGTAATTTGCATCATGCCTGGACCTCAAAAAGGATTTTTGCTTGTTTAAACCAAGTGTCCATTAGGAGGAGGTAAACCTAGACTTACTTGAGAAAAAACATTGTAAAAAGTAGCTAGCAAGAACAGGAGAAATGCAAATATGAAAGGCAACAACACTAAGACTTGTAACCCATGTAGTTTCCTTGGGTTGGTTTGTTTTGCCAAATCTAGTATAACTTACTCAACAACATGCAGTCAAAATGGTGCCATATTTAAGCTGGGTTGCTGTTGGAATCCCAAGAGCACCATGGATTAGAGTCAGAATTTTACACACTAGAAAAATAAGTATTAAAAAACTTGCCAGAAGCACCACATATTCCTTGACATTGAAATAGGAACGTGAAGGAATTTTGTGGCTTAAACTATAAATGAGAAAATAGCTGTAGAAGTTACCCTAAATTGTATTCCTTCAGCCAGTTCAAGAGAGCATCTTTGTTGAAGGCAGCGGCAGCAGCAACGTTGCTGCTATTTAACTGAATGTCAGCAATGGTTTCTGAACTAGACACAGCCTCAATAAGGCCTGAGTGATCTCCAGTTGCTAAACAGCCATAAGGCAATATCCTGAAAGGAAACACAGATTCACGTTAAAAACAGAAACAGCAAGCACATTTCTTTAGTGTATCAACATACACTGCAGGCTGAATACTCAGGCTAACTTAAACACTAAACCCTCAAAAGTTAACACATAGACATTGCTTTCAAAGTTAAAATAGCAGCAATACATTTAAAATATTATTTTTCCCTTTATATATATATATATATAAAGAAATTATAAATAACCCTTATTTTCCCCTTTTTCTAGACAACACAGTTGTACTTTTATAGGAGAAACAATAGAGGGAGCCCTTCGTTTTCATTTATTATTTTCCTGGCTAAGCAGTTATGTTCATTCTAGACAAAATCATTTGTGTAAATGGAAAAGAGCATCTATTTTCTCCCCATTCTTCCCAGTTTAACATAAAATGCTAGAAATCCATTTAAATATAAACATAAAATAATGTTTTCCAACTCTTACTTATTTCAAGCATAAAAACCCAGTGAAAACTAGGAATGCACCTTTTAACCTGCCTGGGGTGCAAGAATATTCCTGTGCATTCATACACCATGTGTTGTAAACGTATCTACAACAATATCATTGCATTAAGACACACTTAAAGGGAGATGTGTCTAAACAGTTAAGTGTAGTTTTTCCCAAAACATTTCCTCACTCCAGGTGCTTAAAATGCTAAATGGAATGGGAACTTGGATGGGAGCTCCATGTCTGCAATGGGAAAGTAAAGCAACTCTTCAAAGGCATTGCATCCCAAATGGAGGTTTCAAGAGTATTACCTCTATTCTGGTTATGGATCCACGTAGAAAAGAATGGCTACCCATGCAAATCTAATTGCAGTACACAAGCTATAGACTAGTACTCACTAACTTACAAAGCTGTATGAAAAATTGCAGGACATTAAAATTTGTGTGGGATATATATGCATCCATACTTACATATAAATACACATACATATATATGTATATATATATACACACAAAAAGCACTGCTGGTGGAGTTTAATCATTATTCATGTATAAAGAAGATACTGATTGCTACAAAGCAGAACCACATCTTTTAGCTGACAGAGCCTATTATCCCAAGTCATAGAGGAAAAGTAAATAACATTCCAGATGAAAATAATTGGAACTTTTTGGCATAATGGCTATTAGATAGCTGAACAATTTTTCTGCCTAAGTAATAGCATGCAATTGAAGGGGCACAGGTAGGAATAACTATATAGCTGGGGGTTCTTCACTACTGGCAACAAAACAAACTTGAAAACTAGATTCAACAGAGGATTCAGAAGACACAACTTTGAAACAAAAATTAAAACCTAATAATAATAAAAAAAGAGAGTTCAGATTTGGAACTTTCTTCCTATTTCTATTCTAATCTATTTCCCAGTTAAAAACCCCAACAGTCTAGACCAAAGGGCTCTCACAATGAACAGAAGGGATCTGTAATTACCGAACACCAGCGTCCACGATACAAGGAAGCACTGCCCATCCTTATCACGACACGACAAATGTAAGCCAAATATTGCCAGGTTAAAGTGCACGCTGGCCTTCTTCCATGGCATTTCAACCCACCCTACTTGCAGCTTAACTGGGCACATGTCCAACAACTTCCCCTTCAAAAGCAAGCAATGATGAAAGCCTTCAGCCCCTTGAGGACTGTGTGCTTACAACTGGAGGAAAAAACATCCTTGTCAGAGAGACAGTTTGACAGGAGTCAAGTTAGGGACAAATCCTCTGGGCTCTTTCCATCTCATCCTGGTCTTTCTGACTTCAACATCTGTCAGCAGGATATGCTCCCTGCTTTTTAATGCCGGTAAAGAGCACAGGCAGATCAACACAGCAATCTTGAGCAGGACAGAAAATGTTCATCATTCTATTTAATACTGTTCTTTATTTCCAGAGTTGAATTCTCCAAAGCAGTATATTTCCAAATCCTTCACCAAGTTCTGGTAATTTATTAACACATTCTCTGTAACTTCAAGGCCAATGATTCAAAAATAATGTCATTTTTGCATTTGTAACAAAAGCATTTTTCAATATGTTTATGAGCTCTGATTTCATTCATGTACAGTCACTTAACATCAGACTTGACAGACGTTAAGGGAGGTAAAGATGAAAACTCATTATAGGCATTGAATTCAATAAGCTGTGAAATGAAAAAGTAGTCTGGAGAACTTGCTCTTACCTGTCCATAAAGTAACCAAGTACTAAATACCTTGACAATCTCTGACAACAAAGGTCACTCAGTGTAGATCAGACTCCTCAAACTTTAGATTTTCTTTTGTTCTGTTACTTTGCCAAGTTTTTCCTTAACACAGTTTCAATGCTGTCACATAGGTAAAGCTGCAGATACGCTTTTTGATGCAAGGATTACTCTTCCAAGAGGTGCAACACTGCAGACCCCACAGACAGATGTTATGCTCCTCTGCTGTGACAGGTACTTGTAGTATTTAAACATTCCTCATAGAAACAAGTATCAGAGAATGACAATCTACTGAGTATATCTGTACACGTGACTTCAGACACAGAGTTTTTAACTTGAAGAGTTGTAACTTTTCATGGGTTTGAACCTCTGAAAGTCTTATCTTGTCACTCTGCAGATGTAGCCTCAATAACTGCCCATACTTAACAAGAAACAACCTTGTTGTTGTTTCAACAAGGTTGCTGATATTTAACTGAATGCCAGCAATGGTTTCTGAACTAGACACAGCCTCAATAAGGCCTGAGTGATCTCCAGTTGCTAAACAGCCATAAGGCAATATCCTTCGGATTAGTCAACTAAAGACATAAGCTACAGAAAGGAAGTGTGGAAGTCGGGCTGTACACACTAATGTCAATTCTTTCCTGCTCAATTTTCAGGTAATATTTTATGTTAGAAATTAATAGGTATGGGGATTAATTAAAGAATATGCTTTTTTGGTTTTCTCATTTCTCTCTGGTACTTGACTGACAGACATCTAAGGTAAACTGACCCGGAGCCACACTTCTCTAAATGACAGCGCAGTGCTCCTCTGGGCTGACGGTCATGGCTGCCTACTGGCTGGATCTGTATGAAAAGCAGATGCAATTGCCATGAGAAGCTTTATTCAGTTGTGCACTGCACAGTCCATCCAGTGACAGCTCTGGATGAAGGACCTACTGGAGTACACTGCTGCATCCTCCTGCATATTTCCCTGATACAAAACTTGGTCTTGTTCTGCTCTGTAGTCAGAATGCGCATATGGGACTGAGACAACGAAACACATCCTATGTGGAATAGGCCAGTTCACCCATGAGACAAATCACTTAACAGTTAAACAAACAAACAAACAAACATACACTTCTCCTTCTTCAGCTTTGGAGATCTCAAAACCAATATATATTTGGTGTTCCTCTCCAGAGCTGAGAAACCCCACTGGGAATATCATGCTTGCTTTAGGCACAGACTAGGCTAAGATTTCATTTTAAATTACTACTGAGTAACTGACTGTGGATTGCAGTGCAATTATAAGGAATCCGATCCTATCCCAAACTCCTCAATGGCAGCATATTGGTTGCCATTTGATCCATGCCTTGTAGCAGCAGTGTTATTTGCTTGTGGCAAGATATTACTGATTGGCAGAGAGAGGCAGACACCAAGTGCTTCTGCTCTTATGCTGGTGAAAGGAGAAGCCCTGTATCATACTTGCATAAGATACCAGACTTTCTGTAGTGGAAAACAGTTGAAAAGTGCAAAATCCATTATGCATCCACAAAGGCAAAAGGGAAGCAACAACTTCAGGGAAACTATAGCCTCAAAGGATGATACAGGGCAAGAAGAAAATAATCCAGTCCTTATATGGATACATAAGGTATTTTTCAGGAAAGCACTTATTTACCTGATACCATGCCTCTTAACCAAGAAGCCAGCAAGTCCCAGTTCATGAACATGGCTACAGAACCACTGCTGTTAACCCACAGATTTTGGAGTTACCTCTTTCCAAGAGGCACACAGACTGTAAACATGGACATCACAGTGTCCTACCCTCTTAGCTGCGTCCTCATGCTCCAGGCATTCAGAGTGCTGTTTTGTCCAATTCTGTTTTCAATTCAGGCCATTTCAGAGCCTTCCCTTGGCAGCTGCCTGGTTAATCTCTCTTAGACAGATATCAAACTGTAGCCCTGCCTCAGTCCTAGAATTTTATGTTCTAATCATAACTACGAGAGGATGAATGGAAGGAAGATGCTCCCAGTTAAGTAAATAAATGGAAGAGGCCAATTATAGAACTTCAGTTCTCACTAGGAACTTCCCCTTGCTACTTTTTTTTTCTTCTGAGAGTTTTAAGAAAAATCTTGGACATCAGAGACCGTTTGTGGTTTTCCTTTGTTGAGTTTAGGAAAATGCCTTAGTCAGGAAAAGCATATTTCATGACTCCTGATCGCTATTCCTGTTTGCTACGCACAGTGTGTGGCCCTGGCTGCAACCACAAACTAAGCTTCTGGAAGGCAGCAACCAAAGAATGCCTCATCTGGGATTCCAAAGCTGCCAGAGATTGTCTTTGCTGCTAAACGCTGGATCAGTCTCCTTACAGTCTATTTATAATGACATAAATTGCCTAAAGTTTCCTCAAATCAGTGTTCAACTTAACACATGCTCAACCACCTCATCACAAACAAACACTTCCAGAAACTATTGTTCACATTCCTCCCTCATCCCATACTCCACTCAAAGGAATTTCCATAAGCAGCGTAAGTAACAAGTTTATAGTTTTACTTGTCTGTGCAAGCTGATGTTTTGTGCCTTATGAAACTCCCACTATTATGCTTGAAGCACAGAAATTTTAAATGAGCTCAAACAATTTAAATGGAATATTTCAAGTAATATTTAAATAAGTACTTCTAGTTTTATAAACAACACTTAAAAATTAAACACAAAGGATTATAGCTCTTTCACAGGCATACAAAATTGAATTTATGGCCTCAAAATGGTTTATAATAATCTAATACCCAGTATCTTCTTCAGAACTACTTCTCTGAAAAGAAATTAAGAACTTGAAAATTATTTTGGCTAAAAGTGGTGCATAGATTTGGCTGGAAAAGTATCCCCCAAAATAACCAACATGCCTTCCCTCCCCCCAGAAAAACCACAAAAGGCCCACGAATTGATACTTCTCTCCCGGGACCCCCATCTTCATGAAGCCTGTATGTAATTAATATAAGATGGACATTCTTATGTAATGTTAAATTTGGTAGGAAACAGACTGCAAGTATAAAATTTATTTGGACATGTGTGGCCCTGGCAGCACAAACCATACATGTCCTTAAGGAAACAGTCCCAGAGAAATGAGAAAATGTTAAAAACCTGTATTTGCATTCCACAATTCTGGTAAATCTCAACCAGACAGTGAAATTCTATTATAATGAATCTCAAGCCTCCTAATCCCCCATCCCCAAACTACCAGTACTTAAAGCTGACTAATTTCTAGAGAGGGTTTTGCCTATTAGGTCTACCCATTAGAGAATTGTGATGGTGTATTCCAGGTGCAGTCCTCAGCTGCTAACTTCTGGCCAGTAAATCTGTGTTCTGTGTTTGTACCTCACTTGCATAAGTGTCTTAGAATTTAAGAGTTGCATATGCCTGGAAAATCAGTGATGACTAACCATTAAGTTTGTTACATGAGGAGTTTATGAAACACCTCTGTTTGTAAAGGTCACAAACACAGGCAAACAAACAAAAGACACAAAAGCTGCTTGCTGGATGCTTAACTCAGGAATTATTTCTGACCTCAAACAATGCTTTTTATCTAGATGATTTTCAAACAATGAAAACACTAAACTATATAAGGGAACAATGGAATTTATAATCAGTGTGGCAACTTAGATAAATGGCAAGAGATGTGGCACACCAGGAAAAGGATTCTGATTGATAATAAACAAAAATCCCAAAGTTTCACTTCACTTCTTCCATTATTCCTTTTCATGAATAAGTTTTTCTGTACTGTGGGCCATCTAAGAAATTAAATGCCAAAAAGGAGCCATCTAATTAGTTACGGTAACTGCTTCCCACAGGCTGTTCACCCTGCGATGACAAGTGAAACCTCTGGACAGCCTTGTGGATGCATAGAAAGGGAACAGGAGGGAAGATATTTAGAAAACGTGAGAACTTTACTGCTAAAAGCAGACTTTCCATCCAAATAAACCAGCCCTCGAGAGATCCTTACCGAAGATCCAGACCAGCTTCTTTCCAAAGTATGTCCATCAAACGCAATATCTGGAGCGTCAACATGTCCTGCCGCAGATCTGTAATGAGAGACTGAAATTGCTATTTCAATCTCTCAATGTGCTGTAGACAAACTTCCTTATGTTTATAAAGCCTTCAGAAAAAGCAATCTCAAAATACTCATCAACACTAAAGGTGAAGTTGGGATTAACCATAATTATATTACCATCACTGATCATGTGTATACTTTGAAACCCAGTCAGAAGATGATGCTTCATTATGTTAGAGTAAACCATATTTGTTTTACAGCAATACAGAGCAACAAGCTTAAGTGCAAGTGTGGGAATGAAGATAGAAAGGAAAAGTGTAAAGTTTTTAGCACTGCTTACCATCGCCATTTTTAAAGATGATCCCTACAAGATCTCCTCCAAACATCTTGTTGTTGTACACTATCCACAGAGGCTTCATTTTAGAATCCATGTATCTACATTTCTCAACACTAGAAAAAAATACAACGAAAGTTTTAGTCCAATAAGAGTAATTCAACTGAAAATGTCCAAACATTGTGCAAACACAACAGAACACACAGACTTCCAGTCTGACACCACTGAAATGTTACCTCTGCTTTCATTCTGCTACTACGCCATGAGCGCTACCAAGTTACGAACATATTGTTATAGATGGAATGTATTAGATACCGTGATTGACATACATATATCTAATGCTTTAATTAAACACCGTCATTTTCAGAGAAAATAGTTTTCTTTATATCCTTTCTCATCAACTTCTAAACTATATATTTAAGTGCTGTTAAAAGTTTTAACGGTTTTTGTGCTTATTGTTATAAACAGAAGCTAGGAATGCTGTCTAACTCACTTTTAGGCTTATATTTAATTCTATTTAGCTATGGTAATGCATTAACTAAGAGACTATTAAGTTTTAAGGTGGACCACAAAAACCTTTAAACTTAACTGATAACTTAACCTTAGGCAGACTCCCAACTGCAGGTCTTCTCTCACTAGACAAGAAGCTCCTTATGACAGCATATCTGCCGAAGTTACAGCACATACACGTTTCTGCTTTACTGTTCCCACAAAAAAGCTACAGTGGAAATTATTCCCTCATTCTTAACTTACTGTAGTTCTGACAGTATAACAGAAGGATTCAGAGGAGACTGGAGGTCAGAAAGTGCTTCCCTGTAAGCATTTTGTTTCAAACACGTCTGCATTGCATCTTTTCCTTTTGCTTTGCTTTGCTTCATGGCATTCAGCTTTATTAAACTATTCAAAGTCTTCATTTTATTAAGGGCTTCCACCTGAAAGATATTTTATCTTTAAAAGGCATTGCTCTGATTTTACACATAATACAATGCAAAATCCCATTTCAAAACAAAAGGTAGTATTTAAACAATTCTACACATTTTTCAAAATGAAAATAATAGATGGCTATTAAGGCAGCCTTTCCCAAGCAACTCCTGCCCCATAAATTCCATTTTCTTAAGTAACAAAGACATTGATGTGTGAAAGCTCCCAAGCTTTGAGTCACCTTTTAAAGCATGACTTGACATTTCCAAAAAGATGAATGAGGTATTGTAGTGTATATATACAGAAAGTCCTTCTCCAAGATACAAGTTTTGCCCACTAATTTAGCAAAGCCCTTAACACAGGTGCCTCTATCCATACTGAAGTTGACAGAAATATCAAGTGCTTCACACTTTTAAAAATCAAACATTACCTGTGGTGAGCTATGGATGCAGACATTTCACTGCACACATCCTGTTAGTTGCATACAACATGTCATGGCCCTGTGACCACTTGCAGACAATTTTCACGTGCATAACTACACATCCTAACCTGTACAGAGCAGAGTCTTAAATGTTTGCTCATTAAAATCCTGCTGAAGGTAGACATAAGGCAAGCGCTCTAATGAATTAAGGCGTTCCAAATCATAGTGTCTCATATAAGCCATACTGTTACCTTAAACACATGTAAAAAGGCAAGGCAATTTCTTGCAATCATGCAGGTGGGATTTAACCCTTTTTTCTACCCTTCTGTTTTGGAAAGTTTTCTACTGGTACATAATTTCTAAGAAAACAAGTCAACTAATGATGCGAATGTACATAACGCTAAGAGAGAAAAGCCCTTCAATAACAAACCTCGACAGCACATACAACGAATACAAGTCGTGCATTGCATCTACATCTAAGCAATTTGTTAGACATATATAAAATAGTTGTTAGAACAATCAGCTGTATTTGCACTAGCCACAGTTAACATGCTCACTAATACACATTTTCTAGAAAACAGCATCAATTTAATAATTACAAAAGTTGATTTCTATACAAGGAAGCTTCAGTCTAACTTACAAGATGCTGAGTCAAAACTTACCACTTCTACAGACAGAATGACCTCTGTCAGGCAGGATGCTGTGGAAATTGTATGCAGTTTGATTATAAAGCTGAGGCAGTGGAGACCTGCCAGGTCAGCCATCTGTCAAAACCAAAAGCACTCTGCTTTTCCACTATTCTAGGAGCTGTACAAACATCAGTGACAAGGGAACAAAATGGAACCTGTGCTGTACAAACAGGAACTTTTTGAAGTATTTCTACTTTGAATTTCTTCCGTGTTTGCACAGTTGGGAATTTTTTTGCCCCTTCTTTGATTGTACTGACATTGGTTTCCTGTGAAGTGCACAAAAACTTTAGTGACCTTAGGTCTATTGCTCCAAGCATTTCATCACCTAATCTTTGTATGATTTTGACAATACTAGCAAGCACACATGCCTAAGAGATGGTCTGTCAATGTCCTGTGAACTGCAGTAATAAAGAGCACAACACCACATTCCTGTTCCATATGCCTCTCAAAGCATAGTTTCAACATAGACGGTATCAAAACGGTTAGAAACAGCACTCATCGGACAAGTACCTACTGAGTGAGTCTCTCTGGCCCAATACAGCAAATACATTCATTCCAGAGATTGTTTTCAAAATATTCTATTATCATAATATAAATTCATTGCTAAAACTGGATTAGAGACTTCAAAAGTGATTTGTGAGTCTCTCTTAATGATCTGCTGATACACTTGTACTTAAAAGAAAACCTCAAACATTTACTAGGCTATTTAACAGCAAACATCTCTATTTTTTGTTCATTTTCTGTAAATGGCATATTTTTAGGTCGTGTCCTGAACCATACTATATTATCACTGAAACGGGTATTTGGTTTGCTTCAACACCTCTATTTCCAAGGAATACTACATTATACTACAACTTCATGGGGTTTTGCATCAGCTTTTAACAAAAGCCAAAGCTGCAGGAAGCAGTTCAGGAGTCATCTAGCCAAAGTTTAGATGGAAAATTAATAGTTTCTAATGAACAAGCTACCCTTACTGGGGTAAAAAGGTCACAAGTCTCCAATGCACAGAAACCCTTCTTCAGTTAATAACCCAGATAGCCTTCTGCTCTCTCCAGAATACAAGCAGGCTGCTCAAAGTACCCCACACAACTTGGCACGCTATAAAGCCAGCTCCCTACCTCCGAGGCCCCACAGCACTAGCTGCTTTCTGTACCAGGAAGGACACTCCATCATCCATCTGGTTTCTCTTTCATTCCTCTGTCTCACCCATGCTTCCTTCTCCTCCCTGCTCCCCAAGAAATGGATTTTGCTAAGGAAACCAATATGCCCCACAGAAGCAATGGGATAATTGTCTCATTTACAAGCTAGGATAACTCAAGGTTCAAAGAAGGTAAGTCTATACCTGTTTAGCAAGTACTTTCATATGAGCAACGCTTCCTCGGCAGTAAGCTTCAAGTATCAAACCAAACTGTACTGAAACGGCAGGTATGTGGACCTCTGACCTATAAGAGGAAAAGCTGCTCATCACACCACAGCACTTACAGATTGGCATTCTTCAAGACATTATGATAATGAAAAACACCCATATAAGGAAACAAAAAATAGCAACAAAGAAATAAACAGCAAAACACCTCATGGTCATGCAGAGAAAACAAAAAGTCAGATTTCTAAAGAAATAACAGAACATTTATGTGCTGAAGACTATGAGGACTGGCTAGTTTCAGTGCATGTCACTTGGTGCCAGGTACAGAACTGCTCTGGAGACAGTAATGTATCAGGTAGTGACTGAATATTTGTTTTCAGGAACCCCTTTTATTCAAGACAGTAGTACTTATAAGTCATAGAAGGTGAAACTGACAACCAGGGCTGACGCTAAACTACATGTTCTCAAATCTTTCTAACTGAAAACCCCAAATTTGCCTCACGGGGAACACTCTGAAATAAGCCACTGAACCTTATACCAGGGCCAATTATCCTTAAAACATTTTCATGTAGTACTTCTTCTTTTCATTTAGAAATATTAAGTAAATTGTACTTGGAAGTCAGAATCTACCTATGGTCCATTCCGCAAGGTGGCTCCCTTTCAGGGAACCAGTCACCAAAAGTAGCACCTACACAGAGAACTGCTTTTATTTTGTTAAGACTCTCAAGGTAATACAAATTTTGCTCAACTGAGAGGTATAAATATTGTACTTCTACTGCAACACGCAGCCAAAACAAACACTAAGGTTATATACAAACCTAACTTATCAGAGTTACAGCTGAATGCAGTTGGGAATACTTTCATCAAACAGCAGATTACAAATCACTGTAATATATTCTCAGTCATAGGCATGCTCTGATCTATAAATGCCAAAGGTAAAGAAACATAAAGAAGACTTGTAGGGGACTACAGTAACAGCTCAGTTAGAAAAAATCCTCAAGCAATCACATTTGAAAGTCCAGTCAGGCTCCACAGTTTAAGAAGAATGTAAGGGAAAAAATCCTACCTTAGATGCCAAAACAACATCTGTCCTATCCTCCTATTAGCGAGTGCTCTCTCTAAGAGAAATCTGGAGAGTGCACAATCAAGAAAAGGTTCATATTTCAGGACTTGCACAAGTTGAAGGAGATACTGAGAGAGCTCTTCATCACTAGAATGAGGTACATAAAAGCAGTTAGTAACAGAGTAACTAGATTAATGATATTGCAGAAACTGAGATGCATAGGACAAATACAACAGTTTTGTTTCAATAGCAACAGTCTCCCAGTTTTTCAATCACATGGAGAGGGACAATAATATGCAAGTTAGAGCAACTGCTAGACTGATGAATTCATCAGTAAGTTATACCTCCAACAGTGTCTTATGGCTTTGAAAACTGGAAGCGAAAACCTGGTGTTCTGTCACAGGCTTTTAGAAGACCAAGATCTAAGCCTCAGTGCTAGGTTAAGTACCTGGGAAATTCACTATTTCAGACTGGACACTGGCTGCCTTTGAGCACTCAAACCTCAGACTGAGAAGCTAGAAAGAGGAACCCAGCAGTTACCTACAGTGGGCATGGACAAGAACTGATAATAATTACATATACCTATCAAAGTCACTCAGCTTACAAAGAAGGGGGAGCAGAGCACTGATGCTACTGAAAGCAATTCAGTTATTGTGTCTGTAAAAGTTACTACTTGTGAGCTAATAGGTGTTAATTTATTAAGATACACCTACAAAATGATCCACTGAGCCACTGTTTGGCTTTTGTCTGTTGGTTTTATTCTGGTTGTGTTAGTTTTTTTTATTCTTACCAACAACATAAAGGTTAAGGAAAAAATACATACATCATCTCTGAGAAACCAAACAGTGCCCAAATTACTCCTACAAGTGCATATTTAAGTATTTAGCCACTTAAACATAGCTTTATAAGGCCTCTGTGCTAATTAACTACTTCAAGTAATATTCTGACATTATAAAAATATTTCCAATAATTTTCTATTAAATCTTGTATTTTCCTCCCCCCCAAAAACCTCTCAGACTTGACAGTTGCATTACTCTAGTACAAATGTGAACGTTACTTTTTGCATTTGAGCATCTTTTCAAAAAGGCCTGCAGAATTCAAGTTCTCTACCTAAGAAGGAAGAAGAGTCAAAATCCTTCTGCCCATTGCTTGAAGACTGCGGAGATTGAAACGCTGAATTTTCATTCACTTCATCTTAGCCTGAAAAACTTCAGTAACTTGAAAAGGTTTTCAATTATGATGTGTTTTATTTAAGCTCATGTATTATTTTATTTCTGCTAATAGGATCACCTTTAGGTTACCGTTTTTACCAGCTGCCTTCATTAGACTTTTTAATGATGTTGAAAATTGATTTCTGACACCGGCTGAACATGATTTTGCTTCAGAGCCAGAACTTAGGAATTCTCAAAGTAACTCCAGATGTAACAATTCAGTATGATTTAGGATAGGCCAGCAGCTAAATTGCTCGCTTGCATTCTAAAGAAGTCAAAATACTCTTGGGTTTTACTTACCCAGAAAGTCTAGCCTTGACCATTAAAAGAATTAATCATTAAACTATTCACCACAGACAATTCAGAATTCAAGGACAGGAAATAGGAAGTAATGCTGCAAATGCTACTGTTATACAGATTTGCCCTGCATTACCATAAACAGCAAAATTGTATGTGGTAAAGAACTGCACATAGCAAAGGCTACAGTGAAGAACAAAAAACATCAGTAATTCTCTGTTTTATTATACACTACAGCTTACATTTGTATGACATGATACAGTGAATCTCTGACAGGATCTGAGGTAGCTGGGTGGCAGTTTTTATAGTATTAGAACACTGTAATATTTTCTCCCTTTGTTCTTAGAAAGATCTCACACTATCTTGCTCTCCTTTTGTCCAAGGAAGGGTTGGTTGAAGACACGACCCCCCTGGGACAAAGGCACACTGCTGTTCTCTCAGCAACATGGAATATAATAATCACTGAATACACAATGTCAGAACATGGCTTTCTTTGGCTGCCAATGTGCTTATCTGGAAACTAGCCTGCTTTATTTGGCCATCTATTCATGGCAGGCAGTGTGCTTAAATCTTACTTTTTGGTTGTTTTTTTTTTCTATAAACAAACAGAATGAAGTTTTTCACTTCAGATGTCCATGCATGCCGAAGTAATAAAATATACTCACCTCATTTGTTTTAAACAACCCACTGCATATTCTCTGACGTACTGGTCTGGGTAATTGAAATCCAACAATTCTAATGCTTCTCTGGGCAGCAGTTTGGGCCATATCTGAAGGAGAGCCTGAAGCTGTTTTAAAAAGAAGATTCTTAGGTTACAGGTAAAGTAAGTATTGAAGAACACAGGTGGGGATAAGTGCCCAAAAAACATTCCCACTAACAGAAGGAGGTTATAGACTGATCAGGGGAGAGGAAATAATTCTGGGAAAATAGGCCCACTTCTGATTATGTTTCTTATCCTTTCAAATGATCCAGATTATGTTTTTGGCACCAGGTGTCATTTATACTTAGTCTGAAATATCCGTTTCTTCATACATAAGACACAATGACAGTAAATAATGATAAGGTAACCCCAAATATGTATGTATTAGAAAGAGTCTCAATAATATTTAGCTAATGTTGATAATGTTTTGTAAATGTTCTCATAAATATATAAATATTTTGGTAATGGTAAAAGTTTTCTATTTAAGAAAAATAGGGTTTTTGTTGAGAGACCTATACCAAAACTATTTATCCACCTTAACTGCTGGAGCCTTTTCTCACAGGCACTATGGATAGTAACGAGCATTAGTTGCAAAATGGATGATTCGGGTTAGATATTAAAAAAAATCCCAAAATCGAAGACAATGATGTGCTGGAAAAAAAATACAGAAAACACTAGTGTATTATTCTGGACTACCAAGAACAACATCTAGAGGTCTCAAAAATCAACTGGTTTTATCACATTTCAATGATATGTATATAGTGGTGTGGCTGGAGCAGTAGTACATTATTGCTCAAATATGCAAGCCAGAATGCATAAATGCAGTGCATTAACAGAACAAGGTTTTTCTTCTCTGTAGGAACGATCCATAACTCATGATAAAAATACCCCTTCCTACAAATTAGATAATACAGGTACTTCATATTTAAACAGCAACTTAAAAATATGAATGCTTAGGAAGTTCTTATTTTCCTCCTGATTTAGTAATTCTTTTTACACCAATAGTGAAAAATCTCCATTTCTGCTATATGACATAGTTCAACCAGTGCTTCCAGTTCAAGTATGACAAACACATGTGTACATCATAGCCTCAGCCTGCATGTAACAGGTAAGTTCATAACACTGTTTAAACACCTGTGGGACAGATGCTGAAAGGGTCCATCTGTGCAGTTTTGTGTAATTCAGAAGGCAAGAAATGGGCATATGCCATTCCCACTGCAAAGCCAGTGGCCATGCTACAATTCCCAGAAGCAGGAGAAAGAATCAAACTGCTTTCATGGGCAAATACTGGTATGAACATATGTAAGATCACATGAACTAAAATTAAAGGTATTTTTAAATACAGATGTCATAATTCCACAGAAATACACAAGCAAATATCTATTCAATCCATAGTAAGGTTCAACAACGTCATGCAAAACTACAGCCACCAACATTTACATGTCATGGATACTTAGAGGGAATTCTGAAAGAAATACTAACACTGAGCAGACATTTAATACAATAAAGCAGATGTTGGAAATGCAAGCAGCAGCTCTGCTTGCAGACACACAGCAAGAAACTTCAAAACAAATGTGCTGGAATTTCTAGACAGCCTACTTAAAATGAGGTGCAGAACCAACAAAAACATAGAAACGTTTTGTTAATCGTGACTGATCATGAGTGAGAACCTGAAGTACAGTCTGAAAAGACAAGAGAAAGACATGCTGCATACATCAGTTACTTCATTTTGAAAGTCATGGCCTACAGCATGTACATTAACTATGAAGTTCATTTGAAGTTACAGACCTTCTCGCTTTGACTGCTGCAATGATTTCAGAGGTTATTACAATGGGAAAATGTTAAGTGATATGAGCTTAGAAGAAGCATGATCTAAACAAGTTATGAAACAGGCAAGGAAATTCCCCAAATATCCACTGCTCTGGTCACCTTCTGCCTTGGAATTAAGAGGGAAATGCATTCCAACTAGCTTCACATCCCAGGCACATCACAGACTTCTCAAAAGTGCAGGTGAATGGGTACCAGTGATAACACAGCTCATTTGTAAAGACATTTGACAGTTCAAAATATATGGTTCATGCTCTTAAAATTTCTTTGCAGTATCAACCATGTTAAAATGCTGCACAGAGGAAATACTGTGCACTCCTCTCACATGGTTTGCAACTCCTGACAAGCTGTGAGGAAATGAGGAACATGAATTCTCAACAACAATCTGAAGGCTTAGAGAAAACTCAAATTTAGCCTTGGAGTGCCAGTATTTCTGTATTTCTATACAGAAATTAGAAATAATTCTGTATTTCTATACAGAAATAACTACTTTTTCTTTCCTAAAAGACAAGTCTACTATAAGAGACAATGCAGTTAAGCACGTGGGTATTTTTATGGCAGTTATTTCAAGTACTTGTGAAAATTAGTTGTAATTTTTCTAGTTCATATTAATGATGGTGTCACTTGACTGAAAGTCAAAACAAGCAATGGTTTTGTTTGTTTTTAATAATGGCTAAGCCCTGCTTTGAAAATAAATAGTGAGTTCTGCTACTAACAGGTTCTTCCATCCTCCTGCTATGCTGAGCAAGGAGGTTATGGAAACAAGAAGGACAAACACCTTCAGAATCCTTCAGTGCAACTACTCCACTGAACTATTACAATACAGTAACAGCTAGGATGCTATCTGTATGGTAAATAACACAAGAAAGCTGCTTTAATCAACTGTATGTAACTCTATGGGAGCACTGAAGTAACAGATGTAAGACAGTCTACAATCAAATGCTCCATTTGTTGAAAACCTTACTCCTTTTGAGCTGCATTAACAGAAACTGGACTATAGCTACACTGTTCATTTTTCCTATAAACAGCTGGTATTTGGCTGGGTTTTGGCTTGATTTTGGGTTTTTCTGGGTTTTGTTGCTTGGTTGGCTTTGATATTTTGAACTTTTTGCCTTATGTGTCAAGACTTTTACTGAAATACTTACAGCGTTTAAAAACCTCCTAGTGCCACAGCATGTGTGCTGTAGCTGCACTAATACTGCAGTATACAGCTAGTACTATACTGACTTAATATCAAAGCAAATATCAATACTACATTCTTTCCACAAGCCAGATGACTATGTGTTTTCAGCCATTTGTTTAAATAAAATGCTTTATACTTATTAATATCCCCAAATTTAAAGGATTTTGAACTGTCATCTAACACACATACTCCAAATAACTCTGCAGAACTCTGCTTCCAAAGGCCATATTTCAAAGCAAGCAATCAGAATGCCTTTTCCTTCACATATTTTAACGAGTAAGCAAATACCTGCTTTTATTCCTACAGGTTATATTTCCAGATAACTTCTAATAATTAACAATAAATTCAGAAGCATATAATGGACGTACTAAGGAACAAAGCGCTGTTGCACATGAGAACACAAGGAATGTGTGGGTGCTGTATTTTGTTAGTGTTATATTCATGGCACAGACATTGAACTAGGATGAAACTCCATGTAATTTTAGAAGTTCACAAAACATACACCTAGCTGGTAGGAAGGAAATAATAAAACAGCAACTAAGCTGGAGGCAAAGTAAGATTCTGATGGACTGGATAATTACAAAAATCACATGATGAATAGATGGAAGGCAAGTTTTCATGGGGTGTTTTCCTTTTCTTCCAATTACACCTAGCTTGAAAAGGATGAAAGACAGAATAGTAAGCTGCAACAAAAATTTATGCTACCTATAACAATACTAGGGCAAATGCTTTTTTTTAGGATAAGCAGATGAACAGTGAGCACTGCACATGTGAACACTGGCCAGACATTTGCCGTTTTGCCCAGCCTCCTCTTTACACACCCAGACTAAAATGTTTGAATACGAATCCATGAAACTGTTATTTTGTTGCTTTTAAGTAAGTTTATCAATCTGGAATTGTCTCATTATAAGTTCATATAATTTTTCCTATATCAAGGTTCCACTTATTCCCAAGAAGTGTCACAAGAGTTGTATTCCATTTGGGTAATTACAGAAAGAGGCAGCTCTAGCAACTTCTTTAGAGCAGAGTGAAATAACCTTGTGCATCTATAAAGCAAAGAAATGGCACAGTTTCACTGAAAATGTAGTCTTGTGTCACAGCACCAGTCTTAAAGTCCATAATTACTCAGAATTACCTGAAAGAGACTCTATTTGGTCAAACAATCAACATGATGAAAAGAGAGTACTTTATTTTGTGCCACTAGTGGGTACTGTACCTCTGAAGAATCATGTCTTCCTCTGAGAGGTTTAATTACACAGTCCAAGGTGGGGAATTTTGGAATATTTGAGCAGGTTAAATTTTTAGAACCTTTATTACAGATTTTGATTTTAACTCCATCCGTGCAGATACTCAGCACTCAGATGGACACAGTCCTGCTCTAGCCAACTGTGCCCGAGCTCAGGGGCTAGACTACATCATCTCAAAAGGTCCTTTCCAACCCAAATGATTCTGTTAAATTCCTTGCACTTAAGATCAAAGTTGAGCACAAGACTTTAAAATTAGCCTGTATAAATTCATTGCTGTGCTTTCCTCATCATTTAGAGAACCTCTGAAATGCATTCTGGGTTTCTTTTTGCTTTATTTTAGCGATTAAGTTCTTGTTTATGTGTCCATGCCACAGAAGGTATACAATGAACTTGGGTTTATACAATAGTACCATTTCAAAATGCCTGTATGTGGGAAAGAAGCCCTATTTATTCATTATTTGACTCCAGGATTTCTCCCCAGCATCACTGCCTTTTCTCTTACCTGAGCAACATCTTCAAGTTTGTTCCATTTTAAAGAGAGCAGCAGTTTTGGCAATGATTGTGGAAAATTTTCACGACAGTCATATCGCAAAGTCCAAATAAGGTCCATTTCATTTTCACAGAGTTGAGATAAAGGATCTCTTTCCATTATTTCCTTTAGCACAACATAAAACTTCTTACCACCTCGACCCTAGAAAATGAGAAACATATAAAATAAATAATGTTTTGATGTATTCGCTAGGATTTTTGTAGTTTAGCTCAAATACTAGAAATCCTACACCAGGAAGAACATCAGCTAAAACTCGTGAAATACAGGGGAATGACTATGCCTATCTTTCAGATTTCTTTAAGCTATAAAGAACTGTAACTGGTAGGTTCAAAATTCAGTGTACAGAAATTTTTAGAGAAGTAACTCAACTTTAAAGTTAATTGACACTAGATGGCAATATTTCTATTTCCCTACTCTAACATGGAGAACTTTCATTTAGGATGCATGTACTTTCTCTCGTTTCTCAAGTGAGCAAATTTAAGAGATGTATGTATAAATCTGTCTTTTCCTGACATTAGTACTGATTCTGTAAATCTGTCTGTATAATGAGTCTTCACACTGGCTCAGCTAATACCTTCTGTCCCCAGCCATGCCTCTATGCAAACTGCAAGGGCAGAAATTAAAGCAGTAATATCAGCAGCAATAGCATTCCATAAATTAATGGGAGACAAAAGAAACTGCTGCTTCTGAGTGAGGAAGTAGTATTTGAAGGGAAAAATTAGTTTTAACACATACTTTGAAAAACAATATGGGAAGCTTAAAATACCAAAGGCAGCTTCATCTTCACAAAGCTGAAGAAGTTTCTACATAATTTTAAGACGTAGGCCAAAGGTCTTTACATTAATGGAAAATAAAACAAAGGAAAGTTCAGAAGAAACGGTAGCAGAAACAAATGGCTCTCATCAAATAACATTTTGCACGGGTATCCCACCTGACAAAAAAACCACATCTGCTGAACACAGAACTTAAGTTTAGCTCCTTTAGAAATGATAAATGCCTGAGCCTTGCATTGTGCTAAATTGCTTTAAGTATTTTCATGTAAAAATACCACCTAAGTATAAATTCTTTAGCAGTGAACAGAAAAATGTAGTTGAAAAGCAATGCTTGTTTGGTAAAACTAAGTACATAGTCTGTTTCTGTATCAAAACAAACAGTTTTGACAATGAGACGATTCTTGTATCTAGAAATACTGAATCTTTTCATTTGAAAGTTGCAATCCTCTCAAGCTGGCATGCTGCTGTTGAGGATTTCCAAGTATTTGCCACTAAGTTATTTGCAGCAGCAATAACTTTTCACTTTTCTTGAGTGCTTTAGGCACTTGGCATTGCAACTGACATGTATGTTACTTAACTACTTGATTCTTATATAAAATACAGTTGTGCATTCCAACTGTGCTTTAACCATTTTTAATTGCAATCTTCAGTATTTGGTCAAAACACCTTCAGATGCAGGTGATCTTTTTCCTCAAGGTAGAACGACCCAATTCCTCAAAAAAAGGATATAAACACCTTATTTAGGAAACAGCACCTTCCAGTTCAACGAGCATTTTTAAAAGAGCTTATTTTGAAACATCGTAACTGACAACACTGAGCAATTTTCCAGCAATATTTTATTCCACCTAGGAATGTTTTCCAGATTCAGACAGAATGTAAATCACAGCTGTGTGCCAAATCCATAGAGTATGTAAAGCAAGTGTGCTTCCTGTCAGAAAACAGCCAAGTCCAAGATAATATTGAAAAAAGGGGATATATACCTGAAGGTTAAGGCAGTTCAAAGTGAATTACGGAATAAAACAGAGCCAGCAGAACTGTCATCGTTTGAGCAGCTGATGTATTTCTAAATTAATGTAGAAGATAAAAACCAAAAAGCCCCAGAAAAGTAGTTTTTAACTAGTCTTTAGCAGGTGCTTACCGCCATTGCAGCATTGTCACTGCTCCTTGCAATCTCAGCTGCCTTTTCAAGTATCTGCAAAGACATGTTTTTAAATACATTAGATTTAAAACCAAATCTGACTGCACTGGGAAAATAAATACTACAGAAATGAAGCAAATATTATAGAAATGAAGGAATATTTCACAGAAACACACGGAATCGTTAGGGTTGGAAGGGACCTCTGGAGATCATCCAGTCCAACACCCTGCCAAGGCAGGAGCACCCAGAGCAGGAATGCATCCAGGTGAATGTCTCCAGAGAGGGAGACTCCACAACCCCCCACGGCAGCCTGTTCAGTGCTCTGCCACCCTCAGTGTAAAAACCACAATGCCTTAATGCTGTCTTTGACCCTTGCCTCCTTGTGCTTTTTAGAGTTATGTGATTTGCAAATGAACTTTGAAAGTTTCTACAAGTCTAAGCTTCGTTCAACTGAACTACCAGCCCAATGCATTGCTCCTGCACTAGACAACAGTTTTCTTCTCTATTATCTTTTGCTTACTTAGCCCTAAACAGCTGTTCAGTGCAAGTGGATTGATAGTAAAATCAAAAAGAATAATCCATTTTTGCACATTATGCTTCTTAAAATAAAGATCTGCCATCTGATTCTCTGTTTTCTTGGCAGAAACAAGCAACAAGATGGATAAAATTAGAAGCAGCCACACACCAAGGAAGTCTCATGTAGACAATTCTGAAAATCAGATTCTCAGCTGATGCAACTCAAGCAACTACAGTGTTACTCCTGATTCAACAGGACCTTCACCAAAAGAATTTGTCAGACTGGGTATTGTATTTCTCTTTTGCAGTATTTAAAGTATATTTCAGTAAAAATTTCAGTATACCTGCAGAAATCGAATGCATTATCAAAGAGTTTAGGGCTCTGATTTTCCCGCTGATACCACGAAACAGTTTCTTAACTCTAGGGAACAGCAAGTAGCAAAATGTACTAGGAAAAAAACCAAAACATTTCCTCAAAGTTGAATGCTTCCAATCTTATTACCAGCTCTATAACAGTATTCTGGGCTACTTCTCTATCTGATACTTACGATTTCTCAGGATCAAGAAGGGGGTAAAAGCCACAAAATAACTAAACCCAGACGCCAAACCAAAGTTACAAGGGATCAGAGAATCGTAGAATGGTTTGGGTTGGAAAGGACCTTAAGATCATCTGGTCCCAATCCCCCTGCCATGGGCAGGGATGCCTTACCCTAGACCATGTCACCCAAGGCTCTGTCCAACCTGGCCTCAAACACTGCCAGGAATGGAGCATTTAGGACTCCTTTGGGCAACCTGTTCCAGTGAAGACCATCAGACACTACCTTAACATCAATATATCTGCTAACAAAGCTTTTGTCTGTATTCACCCCAGTATTTTAACACTGAAACTTGGCATCGCAGGTACAAATAAAAGGAAGAGAGCTAGAACAACCATGCAATTATTTAAGAAATACACTTTTACATAACATGTCTGTAATATGCACATAAAACCAATTTTTTTTCCTGTAGAAATTCAATATATATATACTGCAATGAGCAAAAACTTACAGCTTTACAAATGAACCAATAGCCAAACAAACTAAAGTAAGTCCAGTATGAAGAGTCAACTGGTCAACTGTAATTAAGAATGCGATAGTATTGTTCTAGCTCTTAATACATTTCCCACACTGTTTTAATACAAGAACAAGTACTGTGCCAACAAGGAGGAAAAAACACAAACAAAAAACCCCAAGCAAATATCAAACCAAGAACCCTACTTTATTATTTAATTTCATTTTGATGAACTTCAAACCCAAAATGTCCCTTTGAGCAAGCAATTTTCTCTAAGTGGTTACTAACTCTCCCCAAAACAAAATTCAGACTAACGTATGTATGAGTTGAACCATTTTCATAATGCAACATTAGCTGTCTGTTTTAACACTTCCTTTATTACTTGTCTGGTCTTAGCTTTACTTTCTGGTTTGTGAACAGCTTGCTATCTAGCATCCACACTACAGACACTACCACATGTATTCCAAACATATACTTACTTTCTATACATTCTTAGCCATAGCTGTAGAAAACTGAAAGGCAACTTCACTGAATTTAGTTGAAGAGCACAGACCTTAAGAAATCCCTTTTTGTACAATATTAAGAGCTTGCTTAAAAGCGTTTAGCTCATAGACGAACAAGTGTCCCAAAAAGTGGAAAAAATATGTTTATAGAAAGAAATAACAGATCTTTAAAATCACAGACAAGTACAGTTTGAAGGTTTCCAGAATGACTAGGTACAGTGTATTTTTTAAAGTATAGGTCTTCAAAATGCTATATAAAAAGCCCGAAGCCAGAGCACTGGCATTCTCACACAGGGCAAGTTTAACACACTTTAGTATGCTAACTAAAAGGCAGGAAGTGGGAATTGAGTGAAAAAGGCAGTGCTGAAAAGAAAGAAATAGCTACTTACACAGAAGCATGACTGCTCTCTATGTCATACCTTACCTTATCAAAGGGAGGGTAATTAATAGGCTGTTTTGAATATTCTTGAAATCTAATGTGCAAAGCTGTTGCATTTTCAGTGTAAGGGTTAGTCTGGACAGTTCCCATTGGGTTCAACATTTCTTCAAGTTCATCTGAAACATCAGACAGAACAATTAATATTATAGGCCAGGCATGCAATCAAATTATAAAATCTGAGAGGCAAAAGACACAGTAAGCAATTGCTTACTGTATACAATGGACAGAAGCATGTTTTCCTGCATAACACTTTCGAATACAATGCACTGTATTTCCAGCATAAATGCCCCATATCTCCTATATTCACAAATGTTGGATTATCACCCAAGGAAAAACTGATTTTCTCTTTGCATTGCAAAGTAACTGTACCAGTTAAGGGAAGGTGACATATCCTTATACCTTACTAAATCCCAGTAAGATCTGCAGCTTCTGTAAATCAGTATCAAACTGAAAATCTGTATCAAACAGAATGAAAAGAAAATATGGAATTTTAAGGCAGATTTCTTTCAGCACTACAGCCAAGTTGATACAGGTTTTCTCAGGATGGAATGAAGAATGGGGTGTTTCAGATGCTCTCACTAATTAATCTGATCTGTCAGGGAAGGAAGACTTAGAACACATTCTAATCTGTATTTTTTGCCAACACAAATACTGTCACATACAATATAGCTTATCTTTTTAGTTTATGGTGCTGAGCACAGGGAGCCAGATGAAACAAACTGCATTTAAGAATAAGTAACACTAAATATAAGCATGAATCTATTTTTATGTAATTTTCACTCCATAATTTAGGAAATACTTTTACAATACTATTTCCAAGCTGACTCTTGCCCTCCTCTTTGCTGATACACAATATTTTCAGGAAAGAATTAAATATTACATATCTATCCACATTAAAAAAACAACAAGGGGTAAAAAGATTATGCCAAGAGAATCAGATAAGCATACAGTAAATACTATTTGATAGTACACATCTTGAGTCTTACAAGTATTTAAAATCCAAATATTAACCCTTACCAGGAAATGATGACCAGCTGTGCAGTACCAGTTCTCCATTCTTCAACTGCCCTTTATAATCAAACACCATGGTATTTACCCAGGCTACAGGATAATGCTGTGAAAGGAAAAAATGGTTACATGGAACAGTGCCAATGAACATTACTACGCAGCAAGCAATACAGTATAGGCAAAACAGAGTTGGGCTTTTTAAAATGGGGATATCTTTCAGAAAAGCAGTTAAACACATCCATCGTCTTCAGTATGTACTCCAGTACCACTGAGTGCTACTCAGACTTCATTTTAAGGGCACAGAAACATGCATTTCTCTGAATGTGAGCCTAGATGCTAATTTGTCCATCTTCATCAGAACCCATTTAGAGTTCAGAACAAAACTGACCTTTTGAAATACAACTATTTAAACAACCATATGCCAACTGGCTTACAACAACAATGGTCGTGCCTTCATCAGCGTATGAGAAGCATGAAAAGTTTCTTTTTGCATCAGTCATAGAATCCCAGACTGGTTTGGGTTGGAAGGGACCTTAAAGCCCAGCCAGTCCCACCCCCCTGCCACAGGCAGGGTCACCTTCCACTACAGCAGGTTGCTCCAAGCCCCTTCCAACGTGACCTTGAACACTGCCAGGGATGGGGCAGCCACAGCTTCTCAGGGCACCCTGTGCCAGTGCCTCAGCACCCTCACAGGGAAGAATTTGTTTCCTGATAGTAAAGCTATTATTAAAAACACATTGAAAATTATTATAAAATTAGATTTAAATATATGTATTTAAAATATAAAAATATTTATAAAACTAAGTTTAAAGATATTTATACTATAAACATTATTCGAACATTCAAATATATTTATTGTAAATTAAAAATAATAATTATGATGTGCAATGCTTATTACATATCCTCGTTGTCCATTGGGTTGCAGGGTTTTTTTCCCCTCCATTTTGCAGTCTTTAACACTAAAATGAAGTAATGAAAGATTTCTGAACAGTCATTTCAATATAACCCAGAGTTACACTCAAGAAACCAAGAAGAAACAATTACCACTTTTCCTGCTTTCCTTATGGTTTGGTATTTAGAAGGATTCATTGCCTTGGTTGACTTTTTCGTTTTCACCTTATCCATCACAGCATAAACTGCAAAGCAGAGCCTTGCCATTCTTGGAAGATCGCAGACATTTATTTCAAACTCCAACACTTCATTCCAAACATGGTCACTTCTCCCAGATATTTCTGTGCTTACAATAGTTTTACAAAGGAGCTCTGTACCATGGAAAAGACCAGCCCTAACATGAACCTGCAATAAAGAAATGAGACATTTTAAACTTGCCACAGAACCCATAGAATTCTGCATAGAATATTATACAGAACATACATATGTGCATTTCATCAATATATCTGTCTTAAAAGAAATACTAATTTTGATGTTTTAAAATAAATCGCATAATCACAGATTCATAGAACAGTTAGGGTTAGAAAGGACCTTAAGATCATCAAGTTCCAAACCCCCTGCCATGGGCAGGGACACCTCACACTAGACCATGTCACCCAAGGCTCTGTCCAACCTGGCCTTGAACACCGCCAGGGATGGAGCATCTACCACTTCTTTGGGTAACCTATTCCAGTGCCTCACCACCCTCACAGCAAATAACTTATTCCTTTATATCCAATCTAAACTTCCTCCATTTCAGTTTACACCCATAATGCTTGAAATACTTTGCTATTCATGTCACCAGCCAAATCAAAATGTATTTGTTTAAATAATGCTGGCTACCAATTTTTTCAGTACTGTATTACTTATATTACCACACAACAAACAGTAACAAATAAATACAATATATGGATACACAAATGCTTCTAACAACATACCTAACACAAAAAGAAAAAAGTAGGAAATAAACTATTAAGCAGAATGGAAAAGACTAATTTTCTGAACACAAATTCAACCCTCCAGGTAGAACCTACTTGCACTTCTAAATGAGAAAAGGTTGGTGGTTTTCAGCCAAAGAAAACAATATCATTTTTTACTTAAATCGCTCATTAAAACATATAGAGGGAACACGGCTGACCCAGACATCAGACATCACCTGTAATAGCAAGAGAAACAGTAACAACAATATACGTAATTGGCAGAGATTTTATTTTGTCTTTAGCACCCAGAACCCAGCGAAATCAGCTAGCCTGAATGATAAAAATGAGGAACAGGAAAGGAGAAGGGCAAGAAAAGAAGAAGCTGGTGTTATTAGCCCTGAAATTACACCCATTCCAGGCCAATGCTAAGATGTGTATCGTTTCTGCATTTGTGTTCAACAAACACACATACACAGGAAACTGCATGTTTTCAAGTATCCATATTCTCTGACAGTTCAAATGGGAATGACAGGTCTTTATTTTTGTTGCCTGAGCAAACAACAAAGAGAAATATGTCAGCTTCTTCGAGGTGATCTTCCAAAGTATCAGGGGTTTTGGGTGAGGAAAAGATGACCTGATGTTTCAGGTTCCCTATGCTTCTCAAACAACATTCCCAATGATCCCTTTAAGCTACTATATTATTTCTAAGCACTGTAAGGGAAAGGCAGAGATGTTTAAAATTTGTTTCAGATTTTAGATTAAAAAAAAAATTAAAATTCACTTTTGAATTCCCAAAGACACAAACAAGATCTGCTCTGGAAGAGAGCCTGTCTTTCCCTCCTTCAAAGGAACAACAGTGTCATCAACACTGAAGCAGTTCCAGTATCAATATGCTTGACTTGGCTACACCAGCTTCTGCTCAGTACTAAGTTCTCCATCAACTAGCTCAGATAAACTAGTGACTGGCAAACTGTAATGCAGTTTAAATGAAGTCATGCTAGAGAGAAAATCTCTCTTCAGCACGGTATAATCCGTGGAGGAGGCATTAGCAGCATCAACAGATGGTCTCTATATAACACCCATTCTTGACTTCACTGGAACAATTGCTACTACTGATCAAGAGACTGCTTTCACAGCATAGGCAGAGGCATTAGGTCTTGGAGAACACACTATTATAGATCACACTCTTTGACAGAGGTGCCATAGGAACATCCATTATTAACTGACTCATTGACTTACATATATACAGTCCCTATTTCATTTCCAAGCTTACAAACTACCACTGAAAGAAAAAGTTCAGTTTAAAATCCTGAATTCACTTGAGTCTCAGCCATACTCATAAGAATCACGATTATGTATTTCTGGAATGCACAGCTTCACCCCTGTGAGTTAAGAACAGCAACATGAACATCCATGAAACAGATCGCATGAAAGTAACCTTACTTCAGGAAATCTAAATGTATGCAGCTGACACATGTGTGCATGCCTATATGTAACAATACACATACACAATAAAAATTCTTCTTCATTGTATTTACAGTGGGGTTTTTATTTCTCTGTAATTACAGATTGCAGCCATATATTCCTCAAAAACAAAATACTGTGGCTGATGTCAGAGAACGGATTAAAATTGCTTCGTTCATAACCTTCTTCAAACAACTCACCAGATGGTCCTTTATTAATTCATCTGGAGATTTATTATTCATTCAACCGAATTCATAATCAAGTTCTTTTGCTGACTTAATGACATCTTAGGGAAATACAATTACATCTAGTATATGCTTTTGCTTTAACACCAGCAACAGTAAATGTTCTAAAATTAGGCTGTCTGGGGGAGAGGTGGGAGTTGTTTTTTAGCCAGGGATTTAAGCTTACATTTGCATCATTTTGAATATTATCCTTTGCTATTATCTGATATAACCTTACATGCCACCACATTTCCCCAGCTTTTTTTTTTACTTTATTAAGAGCATATGCAATCAAGTAAAAGATACTCAATCCAGCTCACATTAGTGCAGTGCTATCCATCTGACACCTGTTTTGTTTCCCACTACAAACACTGCCTTTGTGAACCCTGTTCGTGATTTGAGCAAAAATGGATGGATATTGGCTTGATCCAAAGCACAATGAAACTTAAACAACAATGGCAGTGAATGAAACAGACTTAGAATCACAACTAGGAAACAAACACGATCTCAATAGTCACAATTCCAAAATTAGTAGAGACAGACAATGAAGGGAAACATGCACAAGCTTGCAAAGTTAATATATGCATTCTTGTTCTTGGGTAACTACAGGACTGTAACATTTTCAAGATTAAAAAGCATTCAGAATATCAAATAAGATTCAGGCAAGTGTCCACAGGCACCGATACCAAAAAAACTGTCATTGTTCCTGTTTCTTCTCAAGCTTTCCAAGTATATTTTCTTTTTCCTCTAAAAGCATACTGAAAGTAACCAAGATGCAGTTTTTCTAAGTATGACACCCCACCCCGAAAATAAAACCAAGTAGCTACATTGCTTCTGGAATCCACCTTCTCTTTTCCCTTCCCTTTTCTTTTAAAAGCTTTAAGAGTCTACAGAATGTAGACTTAAGATATTACAACAACTAGCCAAATAATGGTTTGGACAAGTATAAGGGAAACATCTGTTTTTGCAGACATCCATTTCCATAGCCAAAGTGTCTTTGGTAGTAAAATTGTAACTATGGCTCATTGAGCTATGTAGTAAAACATAGTACTGCTAACACACAAGGAGGTTATAACAACAGGTTTGAAGGAAAAAAATAAAAATCCACAGAGTATTCTGAATAAACCATCAGAACAGCAACTTCAATGGCTTTTTTAATTTCTTCCCAATCTACATGATTGACTATGTAATTTACCAATTGCCAAGCAAAGGAAAGGAAATAAATCTTGTTCTGTCTCACAGGCAAGTGCCTTGTAAGGTCTAAAAGTAGTTGTGCAATAAATTCCCACATGTCAACAGCCTGTGGTCTGTAAACCAGTCAGAAGCCCAGCCGTGTGCATTTTTACAGGAAGAGATATTGCAGCTTTTTGTGTTCAGCATGTTTAGAAAACAAGACATATCGTATATAAGCATGCAGTCTGTGCTTACACACACATTGACTGTGTTCTGGACTGCAAAAGTACCTTAAGTTCCATTGAAAAATGTTTAGCATTTCATCTGCTTCTGTTTGTCAGATGTTTATGACAGTTTAGTTTGAACAAGCTTATTTTATATCAATGTCAGTACTTTACACATACTATCTTAAAAAACTACCATGTGAACATTTGTGTCATACTGCCCATGATTATTGACAGTGTTCTAATGCACATAGCAAGGTATTGCTTTATTGTCTAAATAATTAATTAATTGTGCAATAAAAGCAATATTTTTAATACTAGTACTGACGTAACTAGGAATAACTAAAAATGCTTTTGCTAAATTAAAATCTGTATGACTAAGTTCAATAACCACTGAAAATTGTTTAAATGATGGACAGAGTATCTTCTGGCACTTGCCACGATTACTTACTTTGGCATTTTCTTCTGTATTTAGTTTATTGCCCTTTAACAGAGTAATCTTGAAAGGGTTGGAAATATCCCATACACTCTGAGAAATAAAACAAAGATACAAGCTCATTTTTAATCCATGCAACATGTTAAGACCTACTTTATTAGCTAAACAAGTTAAGAAAAAGTCATAAATACATATAAAGAGATATTTCTAAAAACAAAGTTGAAATTTTCAAAAAATAAATGGGTTATCATGATCACAAGAGTATACAAAGACTCCCTAAAGAGGAAAAAAGTTTGGAAAAACCACTCAGCTGAAAAGAGGTGGGGGGAATGAATACCACTCACTGACAATTCACAATAACCCTTCAAATTTGTTGTTCATTCTGAATATATACAGTGCATAACAGAGCAAAGTCTGTTCACGTTTCTTAGAATGACAGTATGTAGGTTGTATCTGTGCTCTAAGGACATTAGGTTTAGCAATAAAGCACCATTTTAAAAGAAAAGATGGATGTATAATATGCCCCAAAGTTGCCATCATTGAATTGGCAACATCATGCAAGATATCTGGGCTGGTACAAGAGATCACAGACCACTGTGGCCCAAGCTAGTGGAGCCTACACACTGCACAGAAGCTGGAATATCCAGATTCTCTGCAATAACTGCTGCAGAATTACCCACTCTTTCGGGTTGTGATTTAAAGTAGAATCAATAGCAATGGAAAGGAGATGGTGAGGGGAGGAGGAGGGTGGATGAGGCGAGGAAAGAAAAGAAGTTTCCAGGAAGTCTCAAGGTCTGTTATTCCTGATGTAAATGTTCTTGCAAGGAACAGGAGACTCCAAGTAGACCCTAGGTGACCTACAGTGGAAACCAGCAGTAGTAGCACAAATCCCAGGCACTGTTATTCATATTCCACAAGTCACTGTTTGTTTGGGTATTAGACATTCTCCATATCAACTTACAGTTGTTGTTCTTGTTTTTTTTGGTGGCAGAGGAAGAGGAAGGTTGGATGATTTTCGGTTTATGGCAGCTTCTATGGCAATCATCTCCTGCTCACACATCTTCTTTATAGTGCAACACTCAACTAGAGTCAGCTGAGGAAGAGTCCTGTTCATCACACAGTTGCGTATATACTAAAACCCCATGGAAAACAGATGTTATCAGCTAGTAGACTACTTCTGAGCCAACTTTCAAACCAAAGAAATAAATAATATATTACAAAGACACGAAAAGGTGTACATGTAGAGCTGCAGACATGAGGATGAAGTCTGTTACTGTTCAGCACAGCTGAGCATCCAGTAGCACAGGAAGCAAAGCCAAATTTTGGCCAAGGCACCAGAGAACCGTTGCGGTAAGTTCAAACAGCTTTACATACCTGAAACTGAATTAATGGGTGATCACCAAAAACATATTCAAGCCTTCCACTAACTTGCAGCACATAGTCAGCAGGATCAACTTCCTCATCTTCTTTTCCATGGATAGTCAAACGTTTTCGGATTGCTAGCTCATTCAGTTTGATGGGATTCATGTTAGGAGACACCTGAAAACTAAATACATCCTAAGAAAACACAAACAGGAGTACCAATTATCAAGCTTGTCGTAGTCAGATGTACAAGTTAAATTGTAGCATGCACAATAAAAAACAGGTAGAAGTACTTAACTGTTAAAACCAGACTATTCTTAACACTTCAAGCTGCAAAATGGTCAATTCACAAACTTTTATAGTATGAGAAATGTTTTAAGAACACAGAACATCACCTAATTGATACAGTAGCAATTAAAAAACTTCTACACCAGGTTATTGCCCTAGAAGCTTACATTCTAGAATGTGAATGAGGGAGATTATAAATCATGCATGCATTTCAAGCTATGTAGCAGTACTAGATGTGGTTTTTCTTCTTTCTGGCCAGAAAGAAGTCTAAGTACAATAACACTTGAAATAACAATTTGCTTCTTCAATAAACAGACGAAAATGTTAACATGACTTATGTACAAAACCATCAACTTATTTGGAAGAGTGCAGAAAAGAGCGGAAGCTGCCAATACTTGCAGCATTCTGGATACAACATGGAAACCTGTCCAAAGAACATTTTTAATCTAACTTGTTGAGGCTATCTAGTTATATTGCCAAAGTATCTCTAATTCTGATGCATTCTAGAAAGGTAAGAAGTTACCTCCTTTTTTAAATTTAAAAAAGAAAAAAGGTTAAATTTCCTTATGTAAAAGGTCACCTGTGATACTTTTCATCTCCCTTTAACTTACTACATTATGGTCTGCACACACTTATTGGCAAAGGTTGATTTCGGGAGTCTTTTGGTTTTTTATTAATTTACTAATACGTGATGTATCATCTGGTTCACAGTCTTTTGACCTGTGCTTTATTTACACAGAGGTTTACTGGTAAGAAGCCAAGCTGCCCTAATGAAAAGATCCAACTCTGTAAAGTAAAGCAGAATTAGCTCAGGTTTTTCTCAGTTTCTGCATGGCTCCCAAGAGCTTCCCCCTGTCAGAAAGCTGCCAAAATTTGAAGGGTTTCTTCTCCTATCAAAACTGGTAATAGGTATACAGGGAATGACACTTTTGCTTCTCAGGAAGCTGGTGCTCTGTAACAGCTGCCTTACTTCCAAGTTGTAGGTCTTTAAATGCACATCACAGCAATGGGGATCAGTCTCTCTCTTTTGCAGCACAGACAATTAGGTAGCTTTTACAGCCCCCACACACATTCTAGACAAAAGTTATTTCAGTAGTCCTTTCTCTCAGTCTTGCAGAATTCCTACTGAAAGGACACAACAGTCCCCACACCTTCCCATTTAATCCTCCTGGGGTGATTCTAGTATTCAGGGCAAGTAGTAAAGCCTGGAAGAGAGTTTACTATACTAAAAAGTAGCTCAGATTTGAGCTGTTAACAGCTTTGAAGGTCAGAACTGGCAGGAAAAACATTCAAAACATCTGAAATGTCAGCAGCCTCAGCTATTACAGTGGCATGCAAATACATTCTGCACCAGCAGGAACTTTTCCACGGCTTTTGTACTGTTACCGTACACACATATATGCAACATTTTAATCAAAAGCTAACAACACACAGATATTCTCTCTCCTGGACAACTACAAGTCCTCTAAGCTAAAAGGACTGGAAGAGGTATTGTCATAAACCCACCTATGCATCCAGCATCAGCTAGTGACCAAATTGAGGACTTACCTCTGCATTTAGTGTTTCCAGAATCAGACACTAGTTTACCATTTGAGATTTTTTAAGTTTAAAAATGTAGTATTGGAAATAATAGGGCTTTGTAAATGAAATCTGCCAAATCATTAGAAAACCAGTATCTAGCACCTTGGTCAAAATTGGACACAAAATATAGCCTGAAATATTTACACATTTTCAAGATTTTCAGGTTTTCAATGCTGATCCAATGAATGTAATCCAAAAGAACACAGTGTAGAAATGAATAATGGGAATGCTGGCCTCAAGCAGAATCATAGCTGCTTCAACATCAAGAAACTTAAGCTAAATCATTTTAGGTGGAAACTAAAGGGGGTTTGATTTTATAAATAAGCTATGGGTTTGTTAGCTGAAACAGGAAGGTAAGTCTAAGTCTCAGCTAATGCTTTATTTGTCTATATGCATGTCTAGCATAGGAAATACTAATTCCTTTTTCATTAAAAGATATTGCTCAACCTAATTAGCAGATCAACCCCAAAGATGTTCAACATCCCCCAAGCCTGAAAATGAACACTAGCAAAGCAACACAGTAACAGCCAAAAACAAAGTCCTGACAACTTTGAATTATGTTTTACATTTAAACAAATGTGAAAATACACAGAATATATCATATAAAACATACAAATACATTTTGACTTCAAAGGAACTGTAACTTGACTTTAGAAGTTCAGTTTACAATTGTAGGTTCGCATCCTCACTTTCAAGATCCTGGTGAAAGAATCTGCATTTTAAATCAAATGCCATAAAGTTAGTACTCTATTTTATTTACATCCTTGATCAATCATGTGACGTTCCAATTCATAATCAAGAGCAGGAAATGAAATGTGGTGAACAACCATTCCTACCTGGCAGTTATCAAAATGAACAGCCACTACAAGATTTCCACTATAGAGCTTATCTTGGAAGCTCTCTGGGACAGCAGGTTCCTGCTCTGGTGGGTAAGTGTGCTGTAACCAGTCCATCCAGGAGAGACCCACAAGCGAATGAATCTTTTCCTCACTGATTCTCCGCATTTTAGCTCGGAAGTCATGCACTTCAGGATCTTGTAAGGCATCAAACTCATGGAGACCTGAAAGAATTCAAGCAAGCTAAAGGATACATACCTGTACAAATACTGCTCACCTATTTAGCATCCCACTCAAACCGTTGTTATCTTTAATTTAAGGTTACAGGAGTTTTCTTCAGACATCCCATTCAATAGGGCTGCTCAAAAGTGAGTTGGGCTCTACACTGTCCTCTACATCAGTGGACTTCTGAAGTTACTTGCACAATTCCCATGCAACCTGGCATGAGAGTGTAGTTCAAACCGCAAGAACCAAAGCTTCTCTTAGGTACCATTAAGTGGCAAAGACAACCTTACCCTGAGTTTAAGGTAATTTGGAAAGCTGTAAAGTCTCTTCTCACAGAACCAATGAAAAGAAAGACCAGTAAATGCATCTTAAAGACCACAGAGGAGGAGAAGTGTTTGCAAACTATATATTTTTTTTATTCTACAGAAAGATGACATCCTTTTTGTTTAAAAAAACAGAAAAGGATGTGAGAAGGACTGAAAATAGATAAATTTATTCTTGAATCTTTCTTGTAATTAACATTTTCTACTCAAGTCACCATGACAGGACTTAATATATAACATGACATAATGTCATAATGAAACTCCAACCAATCCAAGTTCCTTTCCCAAAATACGTAGAGAGAGAATACACAGTGGAGAGTCCACAGAGCTGTGATTCTTTGGTAGTTCAGGAAGCATAGGGCCTACAAGTGTTTCTTTTCTCCTCAACTTTGAAAGACATTGTCCAGATTACGCACAGCACTGAACACCTTTTGAGAACAAACTACCAAGTGTAGAGACTGAGACAGGAACATGGTTTTCCACTGCTAAAGTACAGAATAGGGACACAGCTATAACAAGCAGAAGATTCAATGAAAACATCTGAATCTCTCCGAATGTGTCAGAATCTATGTGAATGGTTAAACTGGCTAACTGTTCCCATTGTCAGTTTCAACAAATGGGCAGACAGTGTGCTGATGAAATCTAAACAAAACCTGCAGTCTTTATAAAAGAGCTAACAATGGCTCATTGTTTTGAAACAAGGTATGACCTCACATGACCCCGTCAATCTTGATTGTATAACCCAGCAGAGTGGATTGAAAAGCTGAAAATTCTGAAATAACATCAAGAATAAGTTACTGTGAAACCTTTAAAAATAGCTTTTCATTGTGTGCTGCAAGTCAGTGCCACAATTGAGAGCAAACCCAAGAATCTCATTGTTAACCAAGTCAGAAACCATGTATAACAAAATCATAATAAGTTTAAGCTCCCTCTGCCTGCTGTTAGGCTATTAATGATAACACTTTTCAGGGATTACACTTTCCTTCACTTAGTAATAATATTATAGATTTCCCCCTCACTGAATAAGGTAAAATTTGTTCTTGATTGATGTAGTAATACAACACCGTACTGAAATACAACATTGAAAGTAGCTTTCAACGGCTTTCAAACATTTCATCTTGAGTATTTCAATTCTTTTCAACTACATAAGCTTTAGTTTGAGAAAGGCAAATTCTGACACAGAAATACTTCTTAATGTTTCATTTTCCACTGCTACCTGCCCAATTGAGACCCTCATACAAAACAAAGTTTACCCTCATTTAGAAAAAAAAATTAAATTTAATTACCTTTGCCTATAAGGACACCTATTTTGGAATCCAACTTTTCTCCTGGATCACAGTTCCTTGTCACTAGTTTAAGGACAGGCAGAAAGGGTCTAACATCACAAAGTCTCCGCGTTTCATCCTCTAATTCTTCATGTACAGCAGTCTGATTCACACAGGAGAACATATAAGAGTCAATCTCCATGAGGAGATGAAAAAGTGGATAGGCATGTGCCTGCTTCCATAACAGCTGCAAAGAAAATAAATAAATCAAAACATGAAGGCATGCACATATCTTGTGGCACTGAAGGTAACATTAATTTCATGCATGTCCCTCAAAGAACATAAGAGTAACATGTTTGCTATACCCCTATATATAATGATACATGTCTTGTTTGTAGTCTCTATCTTGAGGTTCTTTTTAAGCAGCAACTTGTGTGCCAAAGTATCCCAAGGGTAAAAAACATACAGGGGCAAGTACAATGAGGTGATAAGAGAAGAGGGCACTAACCCTTATCCCGACGCTTATCCTGGTATTGACCCAATCTAGTCCTATTTGCAGTAAAGCTGCAGGACTACGGCTGTCACTACAGTAGCAAAGCACTTCGTGATTTTGGAGGCAGATGTTCATGACAATGACCACCCAACCACCACTCCCTCCCATCCATTCCTATAGCTTCTTATCAAAATCCTTTCCCCTCAAGACACATCTGTACTTTCTTTTTCCAGTAATTACTGTAATAGACAAACAAGAGGTTCCTACTATGGAACTAATTCCTGAATAAAAATTCCCCTGTTTTCAGGAGAAGCTTGAAGTAAATTTATTTGTAAATTACTGGCAGGCCACTAAGACACCCAAGTCAGCCACAGAACACTAAATGCTTTACTGAACTGAGTATGTCAGTAGCAGATTACACCTTAAGTAACACCAATGTTACTTGCTGTAACTTGATACATGAAATATATCAAATCCTCAGCAGAAAGCTAAAGTGGAAGTAAATAGAGCTCTCCTGACCTAAATACTATTAAAACCTTTATCTGTGAGAATGGTTTTGTCCTCATTTTGAAAGTTTACATCTTACGGCTTTGTTTCCAAAACTTCTTTTGGAACAGGAACTGCACGATCAATAATGCTATAGCAAAAAACCCTTCTCAAACAACTGGAGCTGAACTGCACTCCTTCTGGCAAACCGAACATATCTACATATATTTCATAGTTTGTACAATGAATTCCACCTTCCAGAAATGTATTCCAGTGTATTTTGCTTAGCTGACTGAAGCCGAATCCATCAACGACCTCTGGTGTAGAGCAAAACTACCAACTTTGAAGGTATCAAAAGACTAAATGTACCATTGCCTCTCTGTTCTTCTATAACAGCTCATTATATAAAAATCTGTACCTTTTTATTTTAGCTCCCAAGTTGTCTAACTTAATTTTCCAGCTACTGGTACTTATTATGTCCCTTAACGACAATAACATTTAAAAAGCTGGCAAGTCCCTGAAACAGACTTCTGCTGAAAGCAGCCATTTGCCATTACCCAAAGTACAGGCCTGGTAGTATTAGAAAGTCTACAGAAATAAACAGTTCTTCAGCCCTCAAGTACTTGGCTACTTGCGTTACACATTTTACAGTCCATAAATTGGGGATTATCACAGCAATGAAATGGGAGCAGAGCTACAAACCCAGTATGCCAAAGTCCTCATTTATTGGTCTGTTTTCAAATAGAGTCATTTCCATGAAAGAGCTCTGCAGTTATAATCAACATTCCTTCCCTTTGAAAAACAGCTAAATATCAACAGTATGTGTTTGTAACATGTTAGATTTCAGTGTGTCACCCATCAGAAAACCAGACAGCCTCTGTCATGGGCCTTGTGCTGTCACTTACACACTTGCTTTTTAAATTCTTTCTCAGCTGAAATCGCTGTCAGCTATTCCATTATCTTACCCGCCACCCACCAAATAACCTGCAGTTGCCCACGTTACCCTCTGATTAAAACAAAGGCATTTTTCCAGTCAGAAATATTTCAAGTATTTGAGTATAGCACAAAACTCTTCACTTGGATCATTTCAAGTTCTAGTGACACTCTCATTACTGCACATACTAACTGCACATACCAAGTGACCCACTGCATAAAAAAAGTACGTCAGTGTCTACAACATTTCAAATGAGTAAAACGAACTGTGGATGAACATACATGTACATGAATGTACATGAAGCTACTACTGATACAAAGAAAATAATCTCTGTAAACAGGAGATTACTGTCAGCCTGAATAATAATGAAAAATAATGTACTTATTTACCAGGCAATGCAATGGAAAAAGAAATCACACTTCTTTATTTTCTTTTAGAACTTCATTATGCTTTAAAGATCAGATTACTTGCTGTTATTCACCCACTACCCAATTCCCCTGTAGCTTGTCTAAATGCCCTCACATGGTCACTACCTGATGAAAGGTCAATAGATTATTCTTTAATATCTGTGGTTATTCCCATGCTCCCCTTCCTCTAATTTGAGTATTCCCTTACTTTTTAACTGGCACCCTAACAAGACACTTATACAAAACCCTTAAGAAGTGGCATACATTATTTTTAAAGCACCCATCTTTGGTGTCAATCAAAATAAGCAGGAGCACAATCTGTGACTTCCATATTAAAAATCAAATTAGACACAGTGTCTCCTTTTTGCACACTAATCAGAAAGCTGTTAAATCAATGTACAATGTAGTAGTGATGTGCTAAAGACAGGTTTAGATGTAGCAATGCGGTATTCTAATATCCCTATATTAATAATCTCAGCTGAAGTGTAACCTTCAGGAAGAAGTAATGTCTCGAAACACTGCCATCTGCCCAAAGAAATTTCAAAACCCCAGACACACTTACATTTATTAATCAATCTGCTACGCACATGCCTTCTGTACACCATTTTTTATGCCTACTCAAATTCGTTGCTTCATTTGCCAAAAGGCGCTTAAAAATCAGGAATCTTGGAATTTTTCCAAATAGAAGGTAACTTTTACATTCATGAACCATTTGGTATTATTACCTGCTTAATCTGAGATATGGTGGCATCTCGAGGGACATCCAGGTTGATATAGATTCCAGTGGGCAACAGGAAGTCCACAGATATTGAGCCATCAGCGCCAATCTGCGAATCCACTGCCCAGATGTCAAGGCTGTCTGTCACGGCAGGAGGCATTATGGAATCTCAATAATATCATAACCACATGGCCTTAGGGGGGAAAAGAAATTACAGTTCAGTATACCTCACCTTCTATAATTAGACACACATTTTAAATCCTTTGGAAGGTTTACATAAGATTGATTGTACACCTCAGCTTGCAAGTCTGGGGTCTCAAATGCCGCTATTGCAAACACATAAGCATAGTTTTACTCATTAATTCCATCTAGTGTAAAAGCCCTTTCTGGTAAAGCACTATTGTGGCCAGTGTGACATATTCAGCGTAAAAGGAAAATAATCTTCAACGCTTATTAGAAAGCAACTTTTTCCTCTAAAGACATTTATCTCTATTCACTTTCACCCTTAAAGCAAGATCATTTCTGATAAATTCAACCCACTGTGTAAACTACATCCCCTGCAGGGTAGGGAGAAACCCTTTGTGTGACCTACTTCAACTCATTACACTGACTTCCTGATTACTTGTCCTTTGTATTTCAAGACATTTTTACTTACTCTTTAGTTACCACTAGTTTTTCTGACCTTCCAAGTCTTTTGATTACCTACTTTCTAAAGATCCATTTCCCTTCAGTCACTGAAGTATTTACCTTCCTCTTCATATAGACAATGTTTTTCAGCTAACAAAGGGATGAGGAGTGTTGTAAAACACTATTGCCTTCATTGGAGAATTGCTTTACAAATTACCCCGACACCTTCCCAATTCTTGTTGGACATCAGGAGATGAGGGGAATCACTGTTTATAAAAAAATAAGCCAGAATGTACAACTCTACTAATATTACAGCTTTCTGCTACTTTTATCATTATTTCCCTTTAACATTCCTTCCCTGCTCTGAAATCAGGACTGTTCTGCCCAACTGAAGGTATTTCCCCTATTACAACACCAGCAGAAAAAGCAGGATGTAACCAATACACTGGCCTGCTGTTCTTTATCCACCACAGAGCAGGTTCAAACTCACCCATCGGGAAATAAACAAACCCCACATCAGCCTTTTGAACTCCAGTCACTACTGCTGACTTCATTGCTATACGGTCTGACACATGGGATCTTCCCCTTTGTTAAGGCACTAGGCAAAATCCACTGTCAAAAGTTAATCCTTTCTACAAGGGGTAAACATACAAAGGTATTCCTAGAAACAGGGCAAGATTGCTTAAATTGATTATGCCACTGAATTACAGATAATTACAGATAATTACATATACATGTTTTAATAGATATATAAAACACATAATAAATGTATGTATGCATTTATGAATACAGCTTTACAACCCTAAAGCACTTTATTACTAAATTTTTTTTTCCCCAAAAAAAAACAAGCAACCAGAAAATCTTTTTATAACACACTATAGGTGAACCCACCACAAAATTCCAGGAGAGCAACCACATCATAACAAAGGTGTTTTACTCCCCTCCCTCTCCAGCTTTTTTCTACAGGAAACAGCTTGGTTTGGGAAAAGTCACATCACCAGCTACTAAATCCAAAATTCATATGGAGGAGTTAATGCTTCATTTATGACGAGTTAAATTGAATAGTTCTATTCCTCTTTAAAATTGGTAGGCTTTTAAATGGAACAGTTCAATGTCATATGCATCATCATACTTAATTGACAACAAAAATGCAAAAGTGGTACTTCAGAAAGTCTGTCCATAATCCCTTGCTTGATACAGACAGCTTCTAATGAAATAAATATATAAGCAAGCAAATATAGGGGAAAGCTCAATGTCCCTACAATGGATAACAGACTATGCCAGCAGCACAAAATTCAACTCCTGCTGAAGCATAACTTTTCATTGACAAGCAAGCTATTAATATTTTCTACAAGTGCTAACTTTTTCTGATCATCATGGTCACACAAGCAGTACCATTTAAATCACCACTTGAAAATATTCCCAGTCCCCATATGCCTCAGATCTCAGTACTGGTTTCTATCCTTACAGTAAATTGCTCATTTGACAGTTGGAAAAATTCAGGAGATGAAAATCTCTGGTAAAGAAAGGCTTGAGTAGGGAGAACTGCAATCCTCTGAAGTTTACCACTGCCCAGTGAAATAGCAAACCCCAAAACCCAAATGGAGCCCAGCTATATACTAAAAACAACTCTTTGGTATCGCAGCTGTGCTACCATCAGCTTGCCATTTCAAAGCTGCTTTAGATATGAGACAATACACTTCAGTCTCTCCTCTAACTGCCATGTAAATACACCTTCCATTCAGCCTTAGCAAAGTTGTGAGCACCCACACAAGTGTGACTGCTGCCAGCACATCTTGCTACCATACTAAATATGTGGATCACTTAGTATTTTGCTTGTAGTAGATAAAAAAATAGATAAAACCATAGTAAGAGTACCATTAAGTGCAAACAAAAAATCCTCTAATTTTCAGAAAGGTAAACACATAAGGAAAAATATTTTCCTCAATAGAAGGAACAACTGGGGAGCTCCTATTATCATCATTATTGAATAATATAAATCCTAATTGAATGGGTTTATCACCATTAAGTCCTCATTCCCCCCGAAACCCCACTACACTGCACCAGACTGAATCAGAACAAAAGGAACTGTAGGTGAGAGGTGCAGACCTGGTGAAAATAACAAGTCAGCTATGAAAAGATTTTTAATTACCAGATCTTTACAAATCCATCCCTTCGCTCGGCAATGGGTGCAGAAAATTCTGCAGCGTGTGGTTTCTTGAACCGTCTACAGAAATAAACTCTAACCCCACCAGACTACACTATAAGAATAACACAGCATCTACCTAAAAGTGTCTAGAGAACATGCATAGTTCCTCATCACAAATCAGTGCATCTTTAACAAGGCACTATTTAAATGTGATATTATTTATTTTTCTCCACCCAACTACTTCTACCCTTCAAACCTTGCCTGCAGTTTTGCTGGAACTGACAACAGTAGTCACAGAAAAATCATTTGGATTATCTAAAACTAAAGCTCTTTCACACTTGGATGCACACATATAATGGTGTGGCAATCACCATTATAAAGCATTACTTTACCAGGTATAGGAGCAAGGAAAACATTCATCTGTTCTATGTAGTTACTTTGTTCATTATTCTATTTGCATTCAGGGTAAGATATTCTTTACTGTCATCTTGTTTCAGCTGTTTTACCACAGCATTTGCAATTGTTGCACTTCAGCACATTAATAAGAGTTTAAAATGTTCAAAGCAGTGAGGCTTCAAAATGCTGTTGCATACCCCATAGCCAAGAGACCAAAACCAGAGCTATCAAGTCCTTGTAAGATACATGTTTGTAATTATGGACTTCCAACACTGACATCAGAAGCTTTTACAACTCCATTTCCATTTTTGATTAAAAAGGAAGAGCAATCATCACGCCAACCTGAGCATGCTGGAAGCTATTCTTGCTTTCAGGCACTTACTTAGCATTTCCTTCCTCAAGGAAACAGGTTAGGGTTTTTTACAGTCAGCACCCAGTTTCTACCAGTAGCTGACCTAACAGGGGTCAAGAAAGAACAAGTATTTATACTGGGAATAACACTGATTGCCAACGTAAGAAGAATGTGAGAATGAGTCATGAGCCAAAACAGTACAATGTGTGATGGCAGTAGTGACTAACAGTACTCACATCTAGGAACTGAAAAAAAGGCAGAAAGCTATCTGCATTGGGAGCAATAATACCAACGACATATTTAAACAACTTCCAGATGAAGGGAAAATATACCAACAAGCAAAATTATACTAAAAAGCTATTTCTGGCTGTTAACTTCATAGCTGCTCTTGCCTACTGTCACAGTAAAAAACAACTCATACAGAAGAAGGAAATAACTAAACCAATACTTAATCTTGGCTGCTCAAGTATCTGATGGTTATTTGAATTTAATAGCAACAAAGGCTGATACTAAATGCTTTCCTAAGACCCAGGTACAGAGCATTGATAGACATCATTCAACCATTCCCATGTAAAGTGAAAATTCACTCTGAATTTCGACATAGGCATTTCAGATTCTTGCATATGCATATATCTACACACACAAGCTTAATCTCAAACCCACTCACTTTACATTTTAATATACCAGCAGTTCTGAAAAGGCTGCTCAGACTAATGGAAAGAAATGGAACACAGATTAGGAGAACATCTGCAAAAGGAGAAAAAGACAAAGAAAATTTAACATTGATCTTTGCATTTCTAATGGACACAAACAAGAAGCCCTACAACAAAATTTCTCAGCCAGCACAACTGCCTGTGTTTTCAGGCTGCTATGTCAGTCTCACCTCAGTGCCCTGCAATATCACGGAGCAGATCTTCCTGGAAACTATGCTAAGGCACATAGACAGTAAGGGGGTGACTGGGTGATTAGGCTTCGCTAAGGAAAAACCATGCCTAACAAATTTGGTGGTCTTCTATGATGGGGCCACAGCATTGGTGGTTATGGAACAGCGACTGCCATCATCTACCTGGATGTGTAAAAGGCATTTGACACTGTCTTGCATGGCATCCTTGTCTCTAAACTGGAGAGGCGTGGATTTGCCAGATGGACCACTGCATAATGAACTGGCTGGATGGATGCACTCAAAGAGTTTTGGTAAACAGCTCAACGTCCAAGCAGAGACCAGTGACAAGTGATGTTCCTCAGGGGTCAGTGCTGGAACCAGCACTGTTCAACATCTTCCCTGGCAAAATGGACAGTGGGATCCAATGCACCCTCAGCAAGTTTCCCAATGACAACTTCTCTGGGCAACCTGTTCCAGTGCCTCACCACTCTCAAAGTAAAAAAACTTCTTTATATCTAATCTAATTCTCCCCTGCTTAAATTTAAACCCTTTAGCCCTTGTCTCATTGCTACAGTCCCTGATGAAGAATCCCTCTCTGGCATCCTTGCAGGCCCTTTTCAGATACTGGAAGCTGCTCTGAGGTCTCCACACTGCTTCTCTTCTCCAGGCTGAACAGATCCAAATTTCTCAGCTTGTCTTTTTGTATGGGAGGTGCTCCAGCCCCTGATCATCCTTATGGCCTCCTCTGGACTTGCTCCAACAGTTCCACGTCCTTCTTACGTTGGC